AGGGCTTATTAAAGCAAAACCATTGGATGTTTTATACATAAAATGATTTGTAACATCAAAATTAAAAATACGTACAGCAATATAATAGAACATACGTTTCGACCTTAATGGGTCAATTCTAAGCAAACTTGTAAGACTCGTTACTTATTCTCGTAAAACTTGTAAGAATTTGTAATTTATATTATAATTCTATGTATATGTACCATAAGATATACGATCATTCATAAATATTTACGATTTTTCGTAAATCTTACGGCTAGCAAGAAGCTATCTATAATAATATTGCATAAAGTTATAAGAACTTGTAAGAATTTATAAGTTCTTATAACTTTAGTGTTACAGTCCAATGCTAATTCTACAATGAGTCGGTAGTCGGAAATCTTAAATCTTAACCAGTCTTAATCTAAATAAGTGACTATGATTTTTTGCATCTACTAGTTGTTAAAGCGAGTCGTTTAGCTCGATTAATGGGAAGGAATAAAGTCGAATTTAGTCATTCTTAAGAAAATCGGTAGTCTTAGCCGTACAAGTTGGCTGTTGGACAACTCCACCGATTCACCGATAAGACTTAAGACTATCGACTACCGACTCATTGTAGAATCAGCTTTACAAGTACATGTTATGAGCCTTATGATTCTGCTTACAATTGACCCATTAATCTGGTCATCCTCAGTGTTTCAATCAACACAGTTATTTACAAAGATAGCGTTATATACATAAAATCTCTGCTAAAGCGACGATCTTCTTTTTGAATTCTCTAAATAAATGTGTATCCATCAATTACATCGATGCATTACATAAACATCTACATGTTTAGCATGTCTATGTAATGCATTGATGTAATGAATTAATGGACACATTTATTTGGAGAATTTAAGAAGACCATCGCTTTAGCAGATTTTATATATATGACACTATGTTTATAAATAACTGTGTTGACATTGAGGATGACCAGATTAAAGGTCGAAATGTATATTTTATTGTATTTTACTGCATTTTTAATTTTGATGTTATGAATTATTTTACATATAAAACATCCAACGGTTTTGGCTCTAATAAGTCCTTCTCATTTTAAATTTAAGAATTGTTAATTCTTGTGAGCCGCTTTTATAATTTTAACTTAATTGTCAAATTTTTATTTTTCTTCAGATAAAACAGTGACTGCAGTACATGTGACACCACAATTCAAAACTGGATTAAGTAACTCTTATAGATGTATAAAGGAACAGCAGCTGGATTTAACCCTTAAGGGTAGTAATGTAACTGTGGGGCTTCTGAAAGTAACCAATTTACAATTTCAAGCTTTCCGAGGTGATAATACTACTATTTTTGGTCTAGGTGAGTATCCGGTTTTTTATCTTATCGCTTGTAACATGATTTACTTTTACATCACTATTGTGACTATGAACTTATTTGTTCCTTTTATCTTTTCTTTTAGCTAAAGACTGTTCGTTTGATACGCCTGACATCGTTCCCATAACTGTGGGTTGTGCATTGGCGGGTTTGGTGGTAATCGTATTGATCGCATACCTCGTCGGCCGCAGACGAAGTCAGGCTCGCGGTTATCTTAGTATGTAAGCTGAGTTCCGTGAGGTTTCTTTCTTTTCTCCTCTCTTTTTTTTTAAATCGTTAAACTGATATTTTTTTATGCGATTCTCTGTCTTAACAGAGTCGAAGGTCTTATCAGAAATCTGTATAGTTGTACTTTGTGTTCTATAGCCACAAAGGCTGTGACACATGTTAAGAAGAAAAAAAATAGTTTATACGTTTGTAAAGTTTCGCGTCCGTGTGCGGCATATTAGAAAAAAGAGATACGTATCGCAAGGTGGTTCAAAATGATACAGGGTGAGTGATAATTTCGAAGCAACGTTTTGCAAGGGCAAATACTCTCTAATAAGTATGAATTGACGTAGTTAAATCGCGAGATCTGCATCGTATCTATGCTGTTCTACTTTTGACTGGCAGCGAGAATAGTGATTTGATTTTTCATAAATATATTGTAGTACAGAATGAGAATAAGGAAAATTCTGATCAATATGTATAGCATTGAAGTTATGTTAAATATCCATGCGCTGAACTCGCTGTTTCTTATAACGGGATGTGTTAGAACGCAAAGTTTCTTATCTATATTCTCTTTTTTTTTAAAGGAATAATTTCCTAGCTTTATCGTGATACGATATATCTCTATATATCATACTTAATGCATACATCGATATGTTTCTGTTACATTCGTACTCGAATTCTTTTTATTAAAACTACTGTGAAGTAATAGCAGTTGTTCATATAGCCCTAGGTATGCGTGCGTGAGTGTATCAGAATAGTATGAAGAAGCACGAGCTTCAGGCATTAATATTAAAAGTGTGCTTTACTTTGAATAAGCATAAATTAAACTGAATTAAGCTAAATTAGACACTACAAATAGTGCAATTTTAGGTGTAAAAAAATTAGCTTACAGTAAACGGAGTTAGATAAAACATAACATCAAAACGATAGCTCAATTAATATAATGTGCAAAATTTTGGAAAAACTTTGTTTCCTTGCTAAACGTTTGGATATATCCCATTTAATGTAAACGATAATCTTGGAAGAGAATATATATTACTGTTTGTAGGGGCATTAATAATTTTTAATGCAAGAAACATCCTCGTGTTTTACATCGCTATTACTCTGTTCAAAGGCACGTTTTGACGGTTTTATCTAATATAAGATAATACACAAGGGTAACGAAATCTGGTATATGTATTTCAAAAAAAAGTAAATGGGATTTCAGAAATTAACAGGAGTACCGTGTGCTGCTTCATAAGTACTATATTACAAGACTGAACGACGAGTAGTGAGATGAAAGTGGAGGGCAAAAAGTAAAGTTAAACAAATTAAAGTGATTGAATATAAAGCACTGTACATAAAACAAAGTAGTAGTACTACTTTTGGATTACGAGCATTGCAGCTAGGCGAGATCTACATTATCAACAATAAAATAAAATATTTCAAGGATATTCTAACATTTCTTTTAGATTACGTTCTCTCCGTTCACTCCAAAGAGTGCGGCCAAGATGATTCCCCAATTCTGGCAGTGAAATTAAGGGTTAAGATAAGTACCACAGGTAAAAGATCTTATTGAACTGAATACAAATAGTATATACCGGGTGTCTGAGATCATCCGTATACTCTTTTTCTCTCAGAAACAGAACATTTTAGAAAAAACCGTTTCAGACAAAAGTTGTACGGTTTCGAGATGTATATGAGGTAGTGTCATTGGTTCAATCTTGAATAGTCGTTCGAAAGTCGTGTGAAGATTACGTTGATTTTTCCAAATAGTACACCCTGTTTTTTATTGCATATTCTAAAAGCTTGTCTCGAGTGCTTTCCAAAACACTATAATCAAATATTTTTTCATTAAGAACTTTTTGAATTATAAGACTTAAAAGTTTCAACATTTTGACAAAATATAAAACATCTTGTAAAACAATAATCTCATTGGTCTTAAGCCTGTTCTACAATGTACTCTTTGTTTCCTGTTTCTTGCATTTTACCTTTTGCTTTTTCCCTCTGCAACCGTTTTATCGACAATTGTATTTTTTGCTACGTGTTTCCTGTTTCCGCTAAAGTTCATTAACTTTTATCTCGGGCGACATAAAACAAAAAAACGGATAAGAAGCAAAAAGATAAGATGTAGAAAATAGCAAAAAGCAAGAAACAGGAAACAAAAAGCACATTGTAGAATAGGCTTAAATTTTGATAAATGTTATCCAGCACATGACCCTAAACAACAATCAAGAGGTTTTAATCATGGTGGAAGGAATAGCATGGTGTATGCAGTTCGGCCAAACCACGCCCCTTCTGGCGAGTCGAGGAGGTACCGTTCAGATCCTAGGCCTGCCAACTGTGAAGAAATAAATGATGTTGCTATGGCTGCGTTCCGTTTCACGCATGATGCATCTTTTATCCTTGTTATTCACCGAATATTAAACAAGGATAAATGATGCATATGCACATCATGCAAGAAACGGAACACACCCTATTGCTGGATTCACCCTGCATCCAATTTTCGTCGTACGACCTCTGCAACCAATCAGAAAACAGGATTCCGATGAATTTTGCTTCGTATTATCGGAATCCTGTTTTGGATTCACACTGCATTCGATTTTCGTCGTACGACGAAAATCGGATGCAGTGTGAATCCAGCATAAGTCTGAATCTACAATAGGTGTTTTAAGCCTTAAGTCGTAAGAAACTGACCAATTACGTCGAATTCGAAGAGAATAATCGACTATGATTCGTCCATTTCTTATGGCTTAAGGCTTAAAACTCTATTGTAGATCCGGGGTAACACTTTTTACGCATGCGTTCATACGAGAAAGAAATATCTGTTATCTCTCTCTCTCTGGGTGTTATTACATAAGCGTGGAAACACGGAAACGCGGAAACGCGCAACCAATCAGTAATCGGTAAAACGCGAAACCATAACAGCGGATCGCTTCTGATTGGTTACGCGTTTCCGCATTTCCGCGCTCATGTAATGGCACCCTCTCTCTCTCTCTATCCGCCATTTTTGGTCCACATTCGCCAAACTCCGATTACAGGATCTTTAAAGCCCGATGTCCATGATGCTAGAAATCGAGGTCTCGGACAGAGAAAGAATTAACAAATCACATTTGAACTATTTGATCGATCATTGCGATTGGTCAATTCTTTCTTCATCCGATCGTCTCGGATCGATTTTTAGCATTGTGGACACAAGGCTTCGGCTGCGGTCCACTTGACGCTACAAATGCTTCGAAGCATTCTTTGATTAGTCAATTCGCAAAATTCTTTGTTCTGATTGGTCGCTCAAACGCTTCGAAACGTTTGTAGCGTCAAGTGGACCGCAGCCTTAATCGGGCCTATAGGTACTCTATTAGAGATCAGCCATATTGAATATTAGTTCATTCATGTATATTCGCGGATTCGCAGCGTTCAAAACACTGTTCCAAGCAAAATATGGGAGTTGATAATCTATTTTCTTTGATAATCTGTGCTGGGCACGACCAACATGGCACCATGACAAGAGTGTTATATGGTGTTGTGAGTGCGGGCCTAAAATATAAACAATACGACATGTAAATTATATTATCGAGCACATCGACGGTTAACGGAGATGTACACGTTGCTGCATGGTTTGTACAAGTATTTGATGCAAAAGGACGAGTACTTCGTATTAATTTTAGGACTCGACAATGCGGGGAAAACGGTAGGGCACTCTCGAACATACCGAGGTTATGATGTTAGAACTGCAATTATCGATTATTTCTAGACTTACCTCGAGGCGGCGAAGACGAAATTCACGAAGAATTACAAGGGTATGAATCCGAGCAAGATTACGACTACTGTAGGCTTGAACATTGGCAAGATCGACATTGCTGGAGTATCTTTTAATTTCTGGGATCTCGGTGGTCAAGAGGAACTTCAATCTCTGTGGGACAAAGTAATTAAGGAGGCATAGGACTCTTTCGTTTTTAAAAAGTATGCCTTTTTCATGATTTTTTCTGGAACAGATATATATATAAGCTATGAAGATCGAATTTTTTGTAAATGAAAGTACATATATTTGACTATTAATTATATTTTTTAATATTATGTTTTACTGAAAAATATCCTTCTTCTTAGGCTTTACATAGCATGCAGCATTTCACAGTACCAGAAATATCTCTGACCTGGTTCATCTGAAACAAAAAATTCAAAGTTTTAAAATATATTAAAAATTGTATTTCCTATCAGATGCTTTTTTCTTCATTTTTATATATATTTTTTTTTTAGAAAGAAAATTGAAATGTCGATTTTGCTGAAAATCGATTCTTTAAGTTTGAAAGTCTGCTATTTTGTTAAAAATAAAAAATTCAAAATTGTTTCTGATAGAGACTATATAATCTTTAATATACTTTAACCCTTTATGACTTTTTTGTTTCAGATGAACCAGGTCGGAGATATTGTATTTCTGGTACCATGAAACGCTGCATGCCATGTATGGCTTAGAAAGAAGGGGGTATCCAGTGAAACAAAATAAAAAATTATGATTAGTAGTAAAAAATATATACTTTCATTTACAAAAAAACATTTGATTCTTGTAGCTTATATATCTTTTCCAGAAAAAATAACCATGGAAAAGGCATACTTTTTGAAGCCGAAAGAGTCCTATGCTTCCTTTTAATATATAATACAAAAACAAATAATACATTGTCATGCATTTTTTTATATTTCTTTTTTTATTTATCGAATTATGTAACATTTTTGATTTCACCGTTTGTAGCATATAAAATAATTAGACAATATATATGAATTATGTATCATTGAATGATAACATTAGTTTATACTTGCAGTATTATGCAGAATCTCATGCTGTGATTTATATTGTCGACTCGTCTGACCGTAATAGAATACCAGATTCCAAAGAAACTTTTGGTAAGATGCGTTTTCTAATGATATTTTGAGTTATTAAATTGGACAAGTTCCAATCGTAAGTAAAATAAAACAGTATGAGAAACATTTTTAATACTTCAACATACATTTTCAAATAAAATTATAAGTTTAAAATTTCTTTACTTCTTAAAAAATTAAAAATTATTTCCTTTATTTTAATGAGGCACATATATTTCGCAAACGGTAAAAAATATGTATATCACACTTTCCTTTCCTTTTAGATAAAGTGATATCGTCTGAGCATCTAATTGGCGTACCATTATTGGTACTAGCAAATAAGCAGGATGTACCTGATTGTATGGGTGTCAGAGAAGTGAAACCAATATTCAATCAAAGTGCGCACTTAATCGGTAGAAGAGATTGCATGGTAATGCCTGTATCGGCCCTTAATGGGTAAGCAAAATTAGCGCTTTATTTCGTTGATTTATACCATTTATATTATTTAAGTAATTCTTAATGCTCTGTGTGTGTGCGTGTGTATGTGCGCGCGCGCACACGTGTACATGCACATAATTGAAAGATTTTTTAGATTGATTAATGTAAAGCCCACTGTAGTCCCTTCCAATTTTATGTCTACTTTGATCCTTTAAATGGATTTTTTATTCCGTTCAATAAATTCGGAAATTTTTATCGATCTGTATGTGTCAACAATTTGATCCAGCATTCCCACAGCATATGCACATTTAAAGATTTTTAAATTGAATTTCCACTTATTTTATTATTTAACTGTAAAAAATTTCCGAAATTATTCTATGTTTTCAGATATTCACTCGGATATAACCCCTTAATATTTTGGGGACTGTATTTGATGCAAAAGGACGAGTACTTCGTATTAATTTTAGGACTCGACAATGCGGGGAAAACGGTAGGGCACTCTCGAACATACCGAGGTTATGATGTTAGAACTGCAATTATCGATTATTTCTAGACTTACCTCGAGGCGGCGAAGACGAAATTCACGAAGAATTACAAGGGTATGAATCCGAGCAAGATTACGACTACTGTAGGCTTGAACATTGGCAAGATCGACATTGCTGGAGTATCTTTTAATTTCTGGGATCTCGGTGGTCAAGAGGAACTTCAATCTCTGTGGGACAAAGTAATTAAGGAGGCATAGGACTCTTTCGTTTTTAAAAAGTATGCCTTTTTCATGATTTTTTCTGGAACAGATATATATATAAGCTATGAAGATCGAATTTTTTGTAAATGAAAGTACATATATTTGACTATTAATTATATTTTTTAATATTATGTTTTACTGAAAAATATCCTTCTTCTTAGGCTTTACATAGCATGCAGCATTTCACAGTACCAGAAATATCTCTGACCTGGTTCATCTGAAACAAAAAATTCAAAGTTTTAAAATATATTAAAAATTGTATTTCCTATCAGATGCTTTTTTCTTCATTTTTATATATATTTTTTTTTTAGAAAGAAAATTGAAATGTCGATTTTGCTGAAAATCGATTCTTTAAGTTTGAAAGTCTGCTATTTTGTTAAAAATAAAAAATTCAAAATTGTTTCTGATAGAGACTATATAATCTTTAATATACTTTAACCCTTTATGACTTTTTTGTTTCAGATGAACCAGGTCGGAGATATTGTATTTCTGGTACCATGAAACGCTGCATGCCATGTATGGCTTAGAAAGAAGGGGGTATCCAGTGAAACAAAATAAAAAATTATGATTAGTAGTAAAAAATATATACTTTCATTTACAAAAAAACATTTGATTCTTGTAGCTTATATATCTTTTCCAGAAAAAATAACCATGGAAAAGGCATACTTTTTGAAGCCGAAAGAGTCCTATGCTTCCTTTTAATATATAATACAAAAACAAATAATACATTGTCATGCATTTTTTTATATTTCTTTTTTTATTTATCGAATTATGTAACATTTTTGATTTCACCGTTTGTAGCATATAAAATAATTAGACAATATATATGAATTATGTATCATTGAATGATAACATTAGTTTATACTTGCAGTATTATGCAGAATCTCATGCTGTGATTTATATTGTCGACTCGTCTGACCGTAATAGAATACCAGATTCCAAAGAAACTTTTGGTAAGATGCGTTTTCTAATGATATTTTGAGTTATTAAATTGGACAAGTTCCAATCGTAAGTAAAATAAAACAGTATGAGAAACATTTTTAATACTTCAACATACATTTTCAAATAAAATTATAAGTTTAAAATTTCTTTACTTCTTAAAAAATTAAAAATTATTTCCTTTATTTTAATGAGGCACATATATTTCGCAAACGGTAAAAAATATGTATATCACACTTTCCTTTCCTTTTAGATAAAGTGATATCGTCTGAGCATCTAATTGGCGTACCATTATTGGTACTAGCAAATAAGCAGGATGTACCTGATTGTATGGGTGTCAGAGAAGTGAAACCAATATTCAATCAAAGTGCGCACTTAATCGGTAGAAGAGATTGCATGGTAATGCCTGTATCGGCCCTTAATGGGTAAGCAAAATTAGCGCTTTATTTCGTTGATTTATACCATTTATATTATTTAAGTAATTCTTAATGCTCTGTGTGTGTGCGTGTGTATGTGCGCGCGCGCACACGTGTACATGCACATAATTGAAAGATTTTTTAGATTGATTAATGTAAAGCCCACTGTAGTCCCTTCCAATTTTATGTCTACTTTGATCCTTTAAATGGATTTTTTATTCCGTTCAATAAATTCGGAAATTTTTATCGATCTGTATGTGTCAACAATTTGATCCAGCATTCCCACAGCATATGCACATTTAAAGATTTTTAAATTGAATTTCCACTTATTTTATTATTTAACTGTAAAAAATTTCCGAAATTATTCTATGTTTTCAGATATTCACTCGGATATAACCCCTTAATATTTTGGGGACTTATTTAGAAAAAAATAAATAAAGGATCTCTAGACTTGTTTGATATATTTTTCTAAAAATTTCTTATTTATATATATATTTATTATGTATATCCTTTATATAATATTATATTTTACATTTTTATACTCATTTATATCCCTTATTTAATATTTTACATCTATCTTTTTATCAGTGAAGAAGAAATATTATTTAAAGCAATAATTTTTTCTTTTTATTTCCAAAATTTTATATTAATCTTAACGAAAACATCCTTTACAAATGTTATTCCTGTTTTCTGTTTGATTCTTGGAACAAAATTGTTCACGATGTGATATTGCTAACAGAAAACGATTTGACGCTATAATCCAGATTTTAAAGAAAAATGGATGTTTGATTTTTGTGGGACTTCAATTATTTATATATTGTACATATATGTATGCACATATAAACACACGCACACAGGGTGACCTATCTCAAACGTAATGGGTCGAATATCTCGGAAAATATGGAATAAAAAATAGGGTGTACCATTTATAAAAATCGATGTGATCTTGACCTGACCTTGGCGACGCCATCCAAGGTCAGACTGACCAGATCAGTAAATAGATCATTTAAAACCCTACAACTTTTGTAGGAAATATTTCTTTCGGAAATGCTTAGTTTTCGAGATATTTCATCGGTCCAAGACTTTTTATTCACCCTGTATATGTATGTATGTATATTTAATTTTTTATACATATACATATATATATGTGTGTATATATATCCCCAATAACTATATATATATATACATATATGTCAATAATCATTACCACCTGAAATATCTTTGAATTCATAAGGTCCAGAGAAAAATTTGTAGAATCAAAATTGCACGGTACGAAGGGAACTATCATATGATGACGATAGTAATTTTTGTCCAGATGGAGACGCTTCAAAGATTTTAAGGTCAACTTTATTTTTTTAAATAATTCATATTAAAACAGGCTCCAAAGATTAATCGAACAAAGGGAATGACAATGCCAATGGGAGCTGACATGATTGATTGTGTGTAATCAACAGGGAATGGAAGTAAGGGTCTGAGCACAAAAATTGTCGTAATGTTTACTTAGAGACTTAAGTTGTAAACGTAAGTAACGCATAAGCTTTGGCGTATGACGTACGACTTATTGCCGTGTCTCCAAGAGACGTGCGTGCGTGCATGCGTGCGTGTGTGTGCAGAGTAATCAGAGAAATCATATTGTGTAAAAAAATTCAGTATTCTATTTAAAAAAATGAAGTTGATCTTAAAATTTTTGAAGCGCCTCCACTTGGACCAAAATTACTATCGCCATCATATGATAGTTCCCTTCGTACCGTGCAATTTTGGTTCTACAAATTTTTCTCTAGACCTTATGGATTGGAAGATATTTCAGCTAGTAATAGTTTTTGTGTGTGTGTGTGAGATACCTTGTATATGCAGGGTATCACGTAAAGATAGGAACAACGCTTAAGGGAAGATTCCTAAGATTATTTTGAGATGAAAATTCTCATCCCAAAAAATATCGAGGCTATAATAATTTTTGAATTATAATCATTTAAAGTTAATAAAAGAATACCGCCTAAAATTTGTGCGTTCGAGTAAAACACAAAATACTGAAAATGAAAGCTAATTATTGTCTCTTGTAAATATTAATTTAAAGATTATGTATGCGAGGATACAATTACTGATATTTCTAATTATTGATATTTATTAGGTTAAAAAAAATTTTCCCTTGACATTTTGGTAATAGAATTTTTGTCTCAAAATGATCTCAGGAATCTCCTCTTAAGTGGGACATCCTTAATAGTATTTTATATTACATAAAATAACGGTCCATAATCTGAAAAAAGGGATGGAGTAGACGAAGGCATACATTGGTTGGTGGATTGCGTCAAAAGAAACAGTGATATACGACCGCCTCGTAATCAGGACGACAATTCCTTATCTTAGCTGTGACACATCCCTATTCTTTGGTAATTTATATTAATATATAAATATATGTAATACACTGCGGTATTAACGCACTGTACATATTTATATCGCATGTGTACAGTGTTTCTATGAATAAAGAATTCCTTTTTAATCGAAAATATACATTATTTATCTCCTTTTAAATATGTAAAAAGAATGTATATTGAAATCGCGCACACAGGTGATAGGATAGAACGTTCATTTCTTTTTAAAAACATTTTAAAATATACTGTCGTAAAATGATTTATCAGATCTCGCTAGGAACTGGATTTGTGTGAGTGTGAATGCCTGATATCAAGGTAGTCGCTGAGATAAGAGATAATGCCCACACCTTGTCTCGGTGCTCTATTATGTTAGTGATAAAGAATATACAAAACTGATCGCGCAACTGTAGGTACTCTGTTTGATATATGTGCGGTTGTGATTTTTGTGCGGTGCACGTCTTTTTGGCCATAAGCTCCTTATTTATTTAACATTATCACATACCATGTGGCCTTACTACGACACCGAGGATTGGAGTGTCTTGCCGCCGGAACTCAACAGAAGGTGATTTATTCAGCTTATAATGGGAGCTTTCCAACAAAAGATATAGGAATCATTTTGTTTTTGTCTTTCATTCAATATATCAAATGAAGACAAAATGATTCCCCTGTGTGTCGATATGTGTCTCTTGCTGAGAAGCTCTCATACAGACTGTGTTCCGATATTCACTGCTAATATTGAAAATCTGTAGTCTATAGTATATGTTAGGTACGTTCACTATAGATTTTCAGCACTGACAGTGAACGCAGTCTGTACGAGAGCTTTCCAGTAAGAGACTACACATAGGGTAACTGTTCCAATTACTGTCACTTTAAACACATAACAGTAATTGATATGCTTATTTTAAGGTTTTTAAAATATATAATAGATATTATTTCGATATTATATTCAAATATAAACTTTAATATACACAAAATAAAAACAAGCTCGAAAACTAACGAATTATTTAAATATAGTAAAAAAAATACAATATAATGTATTGCACATATTACTGCCAGTCTTTGTCCAAATACTGCCCTCTTAATTATTGCCACACGTTCCAATACTGTCTTCGTATTACTGTCCATGTACCCTAAAACTGCCGTCCATTTACTGTAATTTGTATCAAAATCATCCCGTAAATAAATAGTGAATTCGGTCACTCGCATTACACTGGATCAGAGCGCACATTAAAGGCTGCTTTATATAAATATCTAAATGCAATAGCATAATATAAGTAGAGTCCGACCGAAACTGAAAACGGGCACTCATTACGTGTCGACTGAACATATAGCTCTTCCTTATAAATATTAATATGTGTAATTATTGTTTCAATAATTAAATTATAACGTTTATGAAGAAGAAGTACTTATATTCTTTTGCTAAAACTGACACAACCAAAATTTCGGTTTCAGTCGAAATTTAATTATTGTTTCAATAAATTATGATATTTATGAAGAAAAAGTATATGATACGGGCATGTCTATACATATGGCCTATATGCCATTATAGGATTCCTATTTTTTAATTTTGGTTTCGGTTTCGGTAGAAATTGACATGTAGTCGAGTGTTTCGGTAAAGTTTCGGTCGGACTCTAAATATAAACAACTTTAACAATAAAATAATACAAATGTGCTGTGTATTAAATAATATGACAAAGGTATATCATTTTAGGCATTTAATCGTTTAAAGTATTGTTATGCTTTTATATTTAACTTTATCTCAATTATTATTTAATAATGACTGATAGCAATATTTATCATATTGTTCTACGCTAGGAATACCTATCACTTCTTTAGTTAAAGACGTCAAAGTTGGCAGTAATTGACGCATTGTATACTTATATTCACGCATAACAGGACTCTTTCAATCAACAGGATTTACTGCCGGCAGTAATACAGACAAACCTTGATGATCCCTAATGCTGCTATTTCAATAAATTTAATTAAAAAAGTAACTCACCAATTTTTTATGCTTATTTTATTGAAATGTCATTTAAACATTATCATAAAATTATTTTAGTACATACAAGAAAGTGAAAATACCATGTTTGCTTGCACTTTAATTAAATCATGCGATTCTGCTTTACTTCTAATTAGAGCAACATGGAGTTTACATGTTCAATGATATTCCTAATTTCTTCAATTACTTCATAAGTACAAAACATGTCGAATATCTTATACAGTTGTGCTTATATTTATATGATAGTTGTAGTTTAATACTAGTAATATTTTTAATGTATAACGATCACATACTTTTATACTAATACTACAATTGAAAAAAGTGGCAGTAATTGGAAGTTACCCTATAAAGGAATTGTTTTGTAACAGCTGAGGATGTTTATCGCTTAGAAAGTGCTGTACATTGTATGACTGTATCTGTTTTCGAAGATTGAAATTATCTGTAGCGTTTTAAGAAACTTCCTTATGAAGGGAAGATGACTATATGAGATCATGTCAGTGAGTTTGTAGCTTATATTCATGTACCACGTTTAAAATCCCAAATGTGGCTGCCGAGTCCAAATTTTACTTCTCTCGTGAAGAAAGATTGCGTTCAACGATAGCGAAATTTGGTACATAAACGTGAAATATGAAAACTTTGGTATACATATTCCACTATAAATCTATCGTTCTTTATCGAGTCGTTTTAATTACGATAATATATCTTATGCCATCACTCGATTATGCGTTCTACATGTAGTTTGTACCCACGAAAAAATAATATGACCATATCATTGTCAGTTGTGCAATGACACTTGTCGGGAGAGACCTGCAGCTCCTCGCAGCTCCTGTCGACTTGACATACTATATATGCAACGCGTGCGTTATCTTATCACGAGAAGCACAAGTAAAGATCGTAGTCAGAAGTATCGGTGATAATTTCAGCGAGTTTGAGATCGAAATTGTCCCGCTTTCAGGATTATCTACGCGAGATTCGTCTTCTCGGTATCCACTCGCATAGAAGCTCAATCTTATCGAAATCCCCCATCGGATTTTTTTTCTCTAAAAATTGGCCTCCTTTCCACTGTTTATCTTTTTATAATTCTTTAGAATTATAAAAAAATAATTCTTTAGAATTATAAAAATTGAACCCAAAAAAATTAAAGATAATCTTACATTTTGGTGGAACTGGGCCTAAAGCCCAACCAGACCCAACCAATGTAAAATTACTCATGCTCATTTCTAATGTAGTTAAATTTCTATTACATCTTTTTCTAGTTGTAAAAATTAAAAAGAAGATGAAGAGTAAGTTGAACCGAGATTAAAGTTAATCTGCATTGATAGAAATGGGCATTAGTGCCCATCGTTAGACACAAATCGACAGAAACATCGTTTTGCAATTTTTAGGAGTAACAAAGGCTGCTTCTTTCCTTTTAGAAGGCACAAACGTTCTATCCTTTTTGACATTCAACGAATAACAAAGATAGAATGACATTTGCGTGTCAATTACTGTGTCTCCTAAAAGGAAAGCAGCCAAAGACTGAAAGATACTTTTGTCACGAAATGAAAAGCATTCAAATCTCGCGCGATCGGTGCGCAGTGCTGCCATATTCACGGCGTTTCCTGTTCAAGGAGATTCTCATGCGATTTTTCTTTCTCGTCATTCTTGTCATCCTCACACACACGGTCTCACTCACACGCGAGTCGAGTCACACGCGGTCGTGAGTCGTGAGGTTAGGATACGCTGTTCATTTCTCTGGTGGAAAGTCCCTAACGCGACATCGGTGACGACGACGGCAGCGGCCATTTTTGAGTCTTCCCGATCCCGTCGTGGCGCAGGGACACGAAATTAACGAAATTCCGCGCGACCTGTCAGATCTGTCAGTGGCTGTGATCGACAAGCCAGACAAAGAGAGAGAGGGGGAATTGTCGAAAAGGAGAGAGAGGGAGGGAAGAGAGAGAGAGTGAGTGAGAGAGGTGAAAGGGCGAGAAGAAAGGAAAAAAAGAGAAAAAGCAGCTTGGTATCGCTGTGGTTACTGTGGTATCGCGCGGGCGGGTAGCCGGACTCCGGAGTTGGCCAGAGTGCCCAAGAGTGCTAGTGTGTGCGTGCGTGCGTGCGTGTGTGTGCGTGTATGTGCGTGTATGTGTGCGGGTAGAGACTTGGCGCAAGCAGAGCTATATTCATGGGGCTCGCGGCCGCGGACTAGCGAGCAGTCTCCGCCTTCACGGGACTCGACGGCGCCGTACGGTACGTATCCACGTAGTCGCCGTCGTCGCCGTCCCGAGTCTCGGGGTCGGGCATCCGGATAAACGATACGTCGAACGACTGGTTGGCGTTTCGAGCACCTCGAGCACGCCACCGCGACGGTCGGAACGTGAGGGCGCACGACTCGCACTTGCCGAGTACTCGTATTTTAACGGCGATTACTCGAGCTCAGGCCGTTCCAATTCCAACCAAACTAAGCCTTCGGCGTTGTCGTTGTAATGTAAACACGCAGAGTGTGAACGTTGGTTTCGTTTTCGGAGCAGGCCGCTATAACCCCCGTATTGTTACCAATTGTTCCGTATCGTCCACGTCTGTCCTCGTTATTGTGCCGCGTGCCGCGTGCACGTTCTCACACGCGGCAACACGTCTGACGTCACGCAGGAAGTCGTTGGCTAAGTTGGCCTCCCGACAGATTCGCGACGACGCGACGCGACGTTCACGGTAGTTGATCGTTCACGGTGGACTTGCGAACACTTCCACAGCCAAGTTCAGGGTGCGCTCCCGAACGGATTCGCGATGGACTCTGGTGCAGGACTCCCAGTTCCGTGTCTCACTCCCGCGAGGGAGCTTCGATGTTTGACAGCCACGGGCTAATGCCTTTCAAGGTAGGCTGGCTCTCGGCAGTTGTCTTCGCGGTCCTCCTCCCTGCATTTTTTCTTTTTCCTTTTTAATATATATATATATATATATTAAAAGGAAGTAGCTTTTATATATATATATATATATATATAAAAGCTCTCTCTACTTGTGTTTTGCAACGTCGCGTCGCCGAGATTCTAGCGTACGAGCGAGTGACATCACGCTCCAGTTAAATCGCTATCGTGGTCCCCGCGGCCGCCCGCGGTCCGCCGATACATTACGAGATCGGTACGTCCTTCACGTTCCTGCCGAATGATGTATCGCGAAACCCAATGGATCCGCGTGTCCACAGACCTCGGAAACTGATTTATGACTTTATTGAAGAAAGCACTTTGGAGCTACTTCCTTTTTCCATAACGTCTTTTCTCCGTTGACACAAATTTAATAGAGCAGCTCAAGTTTAAAAAGAGTGTACAATTGTTTATTATGCGCGACACAGCTGTCCAGTCCTCTTTCTCACTTTTCATCACTTTTGGAAAAAATCTATTAGCCGTTTATATACGTTTCTATACCAATGTACTTACCTAGTTTAATTTTAATCTTTTGTTATTTAGATTCTAGAACTAACTCTGTATCTTTTTCTAGTTCTAAAAATTTGAAAAAGATGAGTCAATTGAATCAGGATTAAAGTTATTTTTCATCTTTTTTTTAATTCTTGGAACTAAAAAAAAAAGAAGAATCAGTTGAATACAGAAAAAGATTAAAATTAAATTACATTGGTATAGAAAACGGGCTCATTTCTATATAAACATAAATTAACTTTAATCTTAGTTTATTTTACTCTCTTTATCTTTCCAACAATTTAAATGAATTTAAGCTCTGAAGAAAATAGGTGCATCAAAGAATATATATAAAATGTCTGTAAGAGAGCTACCACCAGAAGAGCGTATATCATAAATTTATTCAGTATCGGTATGAACAGTACTTAGTAATGTGATAAGTGTTTCAACCCTTGGTTAGGATCCTCTTCGATATGCAAATCACGCGCGCAGTGATAGATTAAAAAATTTGTCATACAGGAGCATTTCATTCAACATGATTTATCCAACTTCTTGGTCTTTCTTTAATTCTTACAACTAGAAAAAAATAAAAGTAAGAAACGGATAAAAAGTAATTGCTTTTTCGACTTTAACAGGTTTGCACAAGTCTGGGTTGGATTGGATGGACAGTTATATGGTCGGAAATGCTACAAGTTAAACCAAAATTAAAGTTAATCTAAATTAATAGAAATGAACCGAAATATCGAATAATTTTTTTTTCAAAAGTTTGCTTAATTTAATTTTAATTAAATGTTTAATACGAAATCTGGTTTTATAGAATTTTATAAAATTCATCTGTCTTTTCTATGTTTCTTGATGCACAATCAGTGATTGAAGTTTATTCAAAATTATATAATTAGTGCAATTATAATCATACACTTGTATGTTAATTTCAATGTGCAATTGTCTTGCAATGATGAGAATATATCTTTCAAGCGATCAAAAATGTTTAATAGAAAATAATTTATAAAGGTGATATGCAAAATGAATTGTCAAGAGTTGCAAGGTGTCTTTCTGAAATAGGGTAATGTGTTAAACAGTATTTCATTCTATAGAAGGCTTATGAACTATAAGATCAACTCTTTGATGTACTCTTTAATGCTCGTACATTGTTCTAGTTTAGATTGATGTAATTTATTAACATAATGTACAATACTAACATGTTTCATAATATTGTTATCGTCCTGTGTCCACTAGGAGGATAGCAGAGTTCGTGTTTTGTATTCGTCTGCGCTTGGTTTTCGTTGTGAAATTTGGCACAAGTTGGCAGTCCAAGTGGAGAAACGATGAATGCCTCAGAACATGGGTAATGCATAATCCCACTCGTGTATGTGTGTATTTTTGGAATAATTTTCAGTTTGGGTAGAAATGAGACTGCAAAAGAAAACTGATGATATTATTTTCATCTCGAACATGGTCATAAGCATTGAAAAATGAAATTTATGACAATATTTGTTAGTTTATCATTTTTATATTTTTGGTTATATGAAATATAGCCTTGGCCAAAAATATAAACTTATAAAGCATCCCTACAAATTGATGTAAAACGTTCTAAAAGGCTTTATGGAAAATTAATATTTATTTTTATAATAATTTTAATAGTTTATTAATCTCTCTCTCCTTCCTTCTTTGGCTTTTGTTACCTTTTTCTAGAAAGTGCAATAAATTGCTTTATACTTATCAAGGTCAAGGCTATATCTGTCCCATAATGTGAATATGACTTACTACAGAGACACAACTTTCATTCTCATTCTTTTCTTATACTGCAAAATATGAAATTGGTTGCAAAAGTAAGGTTAGGCGGAGTAGTATACAAGTGTCATTGCATAAGTAGGTTCGGTAGGTAGGGGTGCTAACAGTCATAAAGTAGCATGGGTGTGTATTTTTTCAGGTTTAACCCAGCCTTTAATATGGCCTCCATAAAGCAGGCTTTCAATGAGGCTGTGGAAAGAGGTAGGTGTATTGTTAATTTCATTTACTCACAATGGCTGTAATAGCTAATCATTGGAACATCTGATTCCGTCTGTTTATTATCTTCTTTCTCTCTCAACCCCCACCCCACCCCACACACGCGCACACACACACCACTGAAGATAAATTGAATTATTTAAAAAATGTAAACAAGTAAAGATTTTCGTCTTTACATCTCAAGCAAAATTAATGTTCAAGTAATGGAAAAGGTACTTTAACCACATTGATTTAAAAAATTTATGCGTTACATTTTTTTATTTTGCAATCTATTGATATACTATATAGTTACATGCAAGCGGAATCAGCGGTTGCCAAAAATAGTGTCAATTTATACTGATGACTTTTTCACATTTTAAAAGTCTCGACAGTTAGAATGCCTGCGCCGACGCGGCTGAGGGATCTGATCAGACAAATACGGGCTGCACGAACAGCTGCGGAAGAGAGGACGGTTGTGAATAAGGAATGCGCGTATATTCGTTCAACGTTTAGGGAAGAAGACAGCGTGTGGAGATGTCGTAACATCGCTAAGCTATTGTATATTCATATGCTGGGGTTTGTATCAAATTGTATTAACTATTCTCGCTCATTTGCTACAGCAACGATACAACTAAAAAAAAGACAATGTTTTCCAGAAAAGAAGAAATATTTTGAATTATTAAAAGTTGGTGTAATAAACTCATCATCATTATTGAGTATAGAGGAATAAAAGCAATGGCGTAACTACAGAGGGGCAGAGGGGGCTACGACCCCAATGGTCATTGGGGCCCTTAAAACTTAATGTTATTATTTTTAATTACATATTGTCCAATTGCCTTGACATTCTATAAATCGTTTCCAATAGATCTCTATCAAAAGATATAATTAATGCGAAAGTATTAAAAATGCCTGTTGCTTATGCAGTTGTTTTGCCATTACGATCTGGCTGTTGGAATGGAATTGGTCCACAGCTGGTCGTCCGTTACTGCGTCAATGGTTGACCAAGAACGGAAACTCCACGTTGTGGCAATAAAAAATTCTGTTCTTCTCTTGTTGGAAGATAATTTGTTTGCGATCGAATTCCAAGAGATAGATCGTCCGTCAGTTACAGTAATTACGGAATCATTGAAAGCGCGGATACAATTGATGTCATCGCGAGGCCGCTTATGCGGTAATTAAGTGCGTTAACTATGTCGCGAGAGAATTCTAAAATTTTAGCAACTAGTCTAAAATTTCGAGTGAAAATGTAATGTATTATTCGCAAAAACTCTGACTAGCATCTATTACAGTGACATGAAATATTTTGTGTTGTTCGCAAAATTGTTCGAGCGCAAGTGTGTTGTCTCGAAGAATCTCGTCCGTCGCGACCGGCTATCCTCATCTGAAATTATACGGAATTAGTATTTCCATGATTCGTTCCTATCCATTCACTAACATATCTAAAATACTTGAGCTCCCGTCAGAGTACGTGACAACGCCTATTTTAGCAACTTTGATTGTGAAGTTTTCTTAAAAACTTAACTTCTGAAAATTCAGGGTATTTCGTCAAATTTGGTCGTAAGCGGACGTAAGCTTTACAGGCATTCTACAATAAGCCATTAGTCATAAATAAAAAGTTAGAAGCTGGAAATTGACCAATCACAGTCGTCAATTTTTAGCTTCTGACTTCTGATCTATGAATAATGACTTATTGTAGAAGACCCATTAGTCGTGTCGTTAATCGCGCATGGACTATGAGCATTAAAATAGAAAAGTGATCACTTCTCAGTTTATGACAATTTTCGAGGGAAAGAATTGATGATCGTGGGTATACATAATTGGATTTTTAATTTATGATATTTAAACCGTCTAAGTCTAATCTAATTACTAAGAAAAATGTATTATAACAACTTCTCTTTTCAATGACAGGGTCTTCAAAAGGTTATGCCCCCGGGTCCAAATTTTGAAGTTACGTCACTGAACAAAAATATATGTTCTTAATTTCTTTTCTTTTTTTGTTTCTGCGGGCAACTAAAATGAATAACAACTTTTGAGTCGTATCGTTGTGTTGTCGCAAAACTGAGTGTTGCGACATGATTCGACATCATTGAGAGATAAGTGTGATGTGTTAATGACACTTCAGGTATCCGGCGCACTTTGGTCAATTGGAATGTTTGAAGCTCATCGCTTCGCCCAGATTCACTGACAAACGAATCGGTTACTTGGGAGCCATGCTGTTGCTAGACGAACGGCAAGACGTACATCTCTTAATCACAAATTGTTTAAAAAAGTAACGTCGCTTCATTTCGGATGCTGCCAAATGTTTTCGACACTTTGATGGCTTGTATTCAGAACGCGCTTGTAACAACGATGTTAGCGCGCTAACATGCTATACGCATGTACATATATAGTGATGGGTATTCAATCATATCTCTTGCGAATTTTCAATCAATTTAATTATTGCTCTGTTTCGAAACATTTCGAATATTATTTGAAATTGTATACTCTTGAAAGTCTTGATAGATCTTGAAAGTCTTGATAGATCTTGAAATTCTTAACAGATCTTAATAGGTCTTGAAAGTCTCGGTAAGTCTTAAAATTGGATAATTTTCGATTTTTTCGATTAAAAGAATGTTTGTTTAAATTAAAAAAATTTGAGCGTTGCTATATGGTTAAAAAAAAGTTTCTTTGATTTGAACATCATTTCGTGAAATCAAATAAATTTGTTTTTTATTTGAACCTCATTTCTTAAAATCAAGTAAATTTTTATTTCCGCCAAATGTATTTTCACTTTAATTTAAAAAAAATCAACGAAAGAAACAATTTTTTAATTGTTTAAATTTATTAAAACATTCAAAACTTTTCAAGACATTCAAGACTTCAAGATATTCAAGACTTTTCAATACATTTAAGATTGTATGATTTCTAATCATATTCGAATTAATTCGAATTTTTCATGACATATTCGAACTAATTCAAAGCAGCTTGATATCCATCACTATGTATAATAAAATATCAGAGATAAAATTTCAAAAATATATGATAAAAACGCGCGCACTTTTATCGATAAAAACGCGTTCCTGAATACGACCTTTTGGCTTTTATATTTTATTTTAAACAAGAGAACAAGTTTCGATGCAATTTTCCTCCTGATTCTGTTTGCACAGTGACTTGAACAGTTCTACACAGTTCGTCATCGGTTTGGCGTTGTGTACCCTCGGTGCGATCGCGTCGCCGGAAATGGCAAGGGATCTGGCGTCCGAGGTAGAGAGATTGATGAAATCGCCGAACGCATACATCCGAAAGAAAGCGGCGCTTTGCGCCTTTCGGATCATCAGACGCGTGCCGGAGTTGATGGAGATGTTTTTGCCGGCCACTCGCAGCCTCATCACCGAGAAGAATCACGGGGTCCTCATCACCGGTGTCACTCTCATCACGGAGATGTGCGAGAACAGCATGGACACGCTGAATCATTTCAAAAAGGTATACCTAATAGATACTCGTTTGACACACGTACGGCGTACATTAGCTCTAGAACTGGATTCATAGGACAGGTTCCATAATCCATAGGAGACAGTTTGATGTCGTAAATTTATCCGTCCGAGTCATAGTGTTGCATTATTACATAATCGATTGACTGTTGTATGACCTATCTAGTATGGCTGATACATACAAGTTAGATATACATATGTATGATAGTAGAGAAATCTGCTAGTAAAAAGAGTATCTATAGAAAGTGCGCCTAGTGGAATTATCTATTAGGAACTGAATTGTGTTTGCTGGTTAATTATCGTTAGCAATAGTGACGGAAAAGAATGTAGTCTTAATCTTGTACAGGTACAAATAATTAATCCAACAGGAACGAAATAATTAATTAAAAGAATATTTTATTTTATTTTATGTGTTACGCATTAATGGATCTTTGTGAATTTATTGTATAATTATATATTAGGAGGAAAACAAGTACTTTCCTGCAGTTTATATCAATACAATATGAAATTTAAAACACATTTGTCTTTCATTTACATTTTAAATACATGTTTGCTTTAAATAGATTCTAAACTGTTTGTTTCATTGATATAAACATGTGCAAGTTTCTCTCCTATATTTCTTTTTTCCAAGCAATTAAAATAAATAATATAAAAATAAAAAAATAATAGAATATACAATAAGACAATCGTGCAATATTTTTTGACGAAATTTAACATGGTTAACATCTTCAAATTTATTACATAAGCATACGTAATATAAGCGTTGATTATTTTTGTCTTTCTTAGGAATGCGGCCATCGTGAGGTAATATGCATATAAAGGTTCTTCTGTAATTGCATGTATGTTTATTACTCACAGACTTCATTCTTTTCTTTTACTTTGCTCGAAATAGATATTGGAATGAGAATATAAATCAACGTGTTATCTGCTTTGCTATTTTTTTTATAATTAAAGTATCAAATCACCTATATTGCATTTGTAGATATACAATCTTTTATATACATGAATTAATTGAGGTAGTTAGATATGTTTAGCGATATTAGTATAATAATAATTATGTAACATCTATCAGTAATTACCATGATGATATTATTTACTACAGTTGCATGTTTATTTCAGAAATCGAGAAATGTTATCTATTATTTTTTATCACATATTCAACTAAATCTGCAATACTTACGATATAAATAGCTCATATTAATATTTAATGATGTAATGAGAGAGAGAGAGAGAGAGAGAGAGAGAGAGAGAGAGAGAGAGAGAGAGAGAGAGAGAGAGAGAGAATAAGAATGAGAATGAGAATGAGAATGAGAATGAGAGTGAGAATGAATTACTCTTAAATAATTGAAATCAGAATCTTTGAATATTATTTTGAGATGGTGCTTATTTTGTCATGTTACATGAAAATGTATGTATGTTATCTCGCAATGACTTGTTCCGTCGATCTTATTTCTTGTAATCAATGTTAATAGTCCAATTAAGTTTCTTCGAAATTAAGTAGGGAGAATCCTATTACAGATCGTGCCAAACCTCGTAAGAATCTTGAAGAACCTGATCCTAGCCGGATACTCGCCCGAGCACGACGTATCCGGAGTATCAGATCCGTTTCTTCAGGTGAAGATACTGCGTCTTCTACGTATTCTGGGACGTAACGACGTCGATGCATCCGAAGCTATGAACGACATTCTTGCTCAAGTCGCCACTAACACAGAAACCAGCAAAAATGTTGGTAACACGATACTCTACGAGACGGTTTTATCGATTATGGACATTAAATCGGAGAGCGGGCTTCGAGTCTTAGCGGTCAACATCCTGGGCAGATTTTTATTGAATAACGACAAAAATATCAGATACGTGGCTCTGAATACGTTATTGAAGACAGTTTATGTGGACACCAGCGCGGTGCAGAGGCATCGATCGACAATTCTAGTAAAATATTCACTTACAGATTTTCTTTTTTAAGCTGAAGATAAGGTTATTCATTGCGATTAATATTCTCTCGGCGTATTTTAGGAATGCCTGAAAGACCCAGACGTATCGATCAGAAGGCGTGCGATGGAGCTAAGCTTTGCGCTCGTCAATTCTAACAATATCAGGAATATGATGAAGGAGTTGCTCTTATTTTTGGAACGTGCTGATCCCGAATTCAAGGCTCAATGCAGCAGCAATATCGTTATGTCCGCGGAGAGATTTGCTCCGAACAAACGCTGGCATCTCGAGACTCTCTTCAAAGTACTCGTCGCGGTGTGTATTTTTACGGGTTCATAATACAGCGAAATATATGGACAGAATTGTCGAGATTCAAATCTTTTTTTAATTTTCAGGCTGGTAATTATGTGCGAGATGACGTGGTGGCGTGCACGATACAATTAATTTCGGAGACGCAGTCACAGCAGGGCTACGCCGTTAGTGCGTTGTGGTACGCGTTAGAAAAGGACACATCCGACAAACAGCCTTTGGCGCAGGTTGCTACGTGGTGCATCGGCGAATACGGCGATCTATTGTTATACGGTCCACCATCGGAAGACGCCGAGACTCCAATCAATGTAAGCTCAACTGTAGCAACTGTGGTACTTACTACGGATGGCCAAAAAATCAATTGATTCGATTTCCGAATCAATGAATCAATTCAAATTGAATAAGGCCGATTTGAATACCTACATATACTAATTGAATAATTTGAATCAATTTTATTCAATTTTTCTTTTTTTGTATTTTATTAATGCAATCTCGGACACATACAAAAATGAGACTAATCGAATAATTTGAACTGATTTAACCGATCCCATTCGATCTTTTTATTTTATTTTATTAATGGAACATCGGACGCATATAAAAGTGAGTATAGATTAGTAAAATTGGTCAGAGCAATCGGAGAATAATTATTTGACATTTAATTGTTCGTTAGCACTTAGAGCAAAAATTCAGTTTCAAGCATTTAAACTGAGAAATAAATACCGAAAATTTTTATTTAAGATATATGAAAAGTTTTATTATAAATTTTGGTATTTTTTGAATGTCAACAAAATATATAAATATGAAAAATATTAACCTTCATCAGGTACCATGTTTACATTTTTACAATACTTTTAAAACTGTACTATGTTCAATAAATTTTTACGTTACTTTTAAAGCTATACACATGTAAATAACTAGGGTAAATAACTAAGATTTATCTTAAGGTACCTTTGATGTATGTTGAAGAATACTTCTTAATAACGCCTTAAAAAAAAAGAGATGATGAGAAAAGAGAATGGATGGCAACAACCGACCGGTAACTCATTGTAAAAAAAAATTGTAAAATTTGTAAAAAGAAATCGACTCACTTGCGAATCAATTTATGTGATTAATCGGAATGTCCGAATCAATTCAATTTTTGTGATTAATCGATTCAAAATCGGCCAATCCTATGGTACAATACTTACATGAAAAGACGGAAAAGACTTGGAATCTTGCTAATGAAATGTTGAATTTTTTTATATTGATCATATTTTTTTTAAAGCCGCTCGTCACTTTTTCTAGATACATATATGAAAATATAATTTAATAATTTCTTAAATTTCTTCATCAGTTGACAGAAGACGAAATCATCGACGTGTATCAGAGGTTACTCTGGAATCTGCAGAACACTGTGATCACAAAACAGTACACCTTGCTGTCTCTTACCAAATTGAGCACAAGGTTCCAGAAAGGTCACGAGTTAGTATCATTTTTGATCTCGTTCATGGTTATCCATATAATATTTATGTAAAAGATCTTTATTCGTATACAATCGCAATATTCATGTAATATTCTGTTATTACAGGAAAATTTGTCAGATCATAGATACGTTTGGTAGCAATTTACATATCGAATTACAGCAGAGGGGCATCGAGTTTTCACAGCTGTTTCGAAAGTACGATCACCTGCGGCCCGCGTTGCTGGAGAGAATGCCGCCGATGGAAACCGCACGACCGCAGGCCAATGGTATCATAGGCTTGGTGAACGGTGAACCAGAACCGGAAGACGAAAAGTCCACAATGCTGGAATCAGCCACTACTACATCCGATTCAGTAAGCGCATATTATACTCTTTTTAACATCTTAACTATAGGTTTTTGTAATCAATCCCCTGACGCCATACTATTATTTTATGCCTAACTTTGTTAAAATAAATGTAAATTGATATATATGACCTAGAATTTAATTTTCAAAGTATTTGTGAATGTTTGTCACTCATGTGCGTGAAAAATACATGCGTGTCTGCGCCGCGTATATAAATGTAAATATAGTGAAAATACACGCATTTATCGTCGCTGGATGAATTTGTAAAAATGTTTTTATAATAGGATAGAGCGGACTTATTCCGTCAAATTTTTACTTGAGACGCCATGTTACACTAAGAAATGGTACTCTCTAAATCTGAATCAGTGGATAGTCGCTAATTACCCAGTGGCATACTTGGCACTGAGTAATTAGTGTCATTTCTTATGGCTTAAGGCTTAAAACTCTATTGTAGATCCGGGGTAAAGATTGTAGATCCGGGATAATGCTCAAACATTCTTTCTTTTTTAGTCGAACTTCACTGACTCAGATTTAGAGAGTAAAAAATACGAGTCGACTTGACAGCTTGAGACGTCATATTACATTACACTAAGTAATGGTAAAAAATCAATTTCGAAATTTTTGGTCGTTGGTATAAACTCCACCTCACAAACACGTATTAATGCGTACACTTCAATCCTGGAAAAAAATTTTCGAATCTGTGAAAGAAAAAAGAAGTGTACAAGAAGTTTACAAGAAGTATACATTTGTTATACAAAATTTACATGATTTAGTCGGTAATATAGACGGCTTTAGGATCTCCTTAAAGACGGTAATATAAAATTTACAACGCCGGCAAATAAAGTTGGTAACAAACAATATCTTTTTGCAGTGCTTATAACTACCTTATACAATCATGATTTGAGAGCATAAATATAACCTTCAAATGTTTAATATACGCTGCTCACACAGAAACATAAACAATATCGTGAGAAATGGATGAATAGCCCCGCTCTATCCTATAATATAATTTTAAGTAAATTTTTTACATTAGAATAGATTTTTCAATAAAATATATTTTTTTAAATAAAAATCTTAAGTCAAGTTAGTAGATATTCACAGAATTCATAATATAATATATATGAAATTAACGCAAAGTGTTCTTTTATATAAGTGGTAGTAAGTATAGGAAATGTGTATATTCAAATTGATATATAGTATGTGGCGTTCTAGATCCATAGGTGTGTACATCCAATTGGATACACATGGCAGCCAAAATTTTAATATATCTTTTCATTTAAACTATAAATATATGATAAGCTACGAATAATATGAAGGATTTTTAATGATTCTATTAATTCGAATGTGATCACACACTTAAAAGTTCCGTAATGGTGACACAGAGGGGTCAAAATGATTCCAGAGTGCATTTAACCGATTGCTGCATTCACAGTTTTCGTTCTATCAAAAAAATTACTGGTTAAATGCGCTCGAGGATCATTTTGATTCCAGTGTGATCACGAAGAGTGTAAATAATATAAAATATTCTATTAAAACAAAAAAATAAATTTAAAAAAGATGTCTACTAATATCTTTAATTTTTTTTACAATTTTACAGAGTGCACTTTTAGATTTACTTGGAACTACGGATGTAGGAATAACGATGCCGGCGGCGACGACCAATAAAAATTCTTCATCGAGTTCGACGACAGCGCATAATAATGACCTGTTGGATTTGCTTGGAAGTTTGGATTTGAATACGCCTACGTCTGTCGCTCCCACGTTACCACTTCAACCGCAGGCGTCATCCGCATCGATGTTCAGTCCCACTAATAACAGTAACTTCTTAGTAGATGGATTACTCAGTACTCCGACAGTGCAAAACGGTTCGTCACAGGATCTAAAATAATATTATGAATTTATTAGCATGTAAATCATTATAATCGTAATCATTGTTACAGAACTACCAAGTATGGTGGTCTTGGATAAATCAGGGCTCAAAATAACGTTCAAATTAGAAAGACCGCCCGATATCTCTGATCTGTTAGTCATAAATATGTTGGCTCAAAATTCCGGAAGCACCATTTTAACCGATTTTTTGTTTCAAGCAGCAGTTCCTAGGTTTAGACACTATATATATATATATATATAATATATATACATACGAACAATATATATACATTTATGATATTTTTTATATCAAACCAATGTATTTATCATACATTTCTTGTTTGCAGACATTCCAATTACAAATGTTGTCGCCGTCAAGTACTGTCATTCCGCCGTCTGGTCAAGTAACTCAAGTCATGAGAGTGACAAATATGAATAGAGTGAGTTTTCAATACATTATTTCTATTAAATAGTTGAGTTTTTTGTTTCTAATCGATGATCTCTCTTTTGTTCCTTAGGCACAATTAAGGATGAGATTGCGTATATCGTATACGGGCCCGACTGGATCAGTTCTGGAACAAACGGAAGTCAATAACTTTCCCATTTCGACATCACAGTGACAAGATGTAATACAAAATACATTTGTACATATGCCTGCCTAAAAATAATTAATAGAGTTTTGAAAGCGAACTGAGAGGAAGGTGAAAGAAACGCAATTTTTCTTCATCAAGAACAGTGAAACATACAACTTGACTACATCTAATACACACACACACGCACGCACGCACGCACGCACGCATGCACGCACACACACAGACATTTGTATTAAGGCTCCTGAGTACTTGGTCAAGAACTGCGTTGACGGTGGCGACATAGAATCAGACGGTCTGGCGAAATCGGTAGCAACACAAGCAGGAGCCCATGTCCGTGTGCTCGCCTTCGGCCGAGCCAACAAGCGATTAGAGCGAGAAAAACGGCTCGTTGTCTCGTTCACTCTCGGCGCGCCGAAGGCGAGCACACGGACATGGACTCGTGCTTGTTGTGTGTTACAGCACCACACCACGATAAATGGCTGAACTTATAGGCGTGGAAAAGTGACGTTTTGACGACGAAATTTATGTTGCTTGCCATTTCGTTATTATTTGCTTAATTGTGAAAATATGACTTGTTTCGTACTTGTCAAAGTCGTAATTATTGAACAAAACTAAAGTTATCTTGGAATTTTATATGTGAAAGCATATTTTCCACTCGTTTCAACAGCTGTCAGATCGTGTGTTTCTGCCCGAGTATAGGCTCACTTTACGTGTCTTTTACGACTATTTGCTGACTGTCAAGGGAGGAAAGGACAGTTTTGTTCCATTTTTACAAGTGTTTTAAAGCGATCTCGTCATTTAGATTTATCCAAATTGTCTTTATTTACCAATGGCACGCAACATAAATTAACGTGTCATTTTTCGCTTCTGACGTCACGATTCCAACATGGTCGCCGCGACTACTCAGAAGCCTTGAGCAATTAAATCATTGTATGCGCGGCATCAATAAGACAAGACCTAAACTTTCTAAGAGAGACTGTGTATGTTGAAAAGTATGATAATTTGATTTTGCACGATTTGTTTGATATATTCTGAAAACTCATGATGAAAAGTGAATTCTTCGGCGCGTGTATTAAAACTGTCGCGGGTAATGTGATATTAACGTCGCGAACTTTCAAAAATTACATTTTGTATTATTACTGTTGTCTATCGTTCTTGCGTAATTTGGTTACGATGAGAGAGTATGTGCAAGTGCTTCGTTCTCGTAATGTGTCGCACGTGTGCGGAAAAAAAGGGAAGAGAGAAGAAAAATGTAAATATTTTTTCCAATAACATATGAAGGGAGTTGGGGAGATATCGTACTCTGATTGATTTCATTCCCGTTTTTCGGCTACTAATTTAGCGCATAATTTCTCACGTAGGTTAAATAATTAAATAAAAAACGAAGAAACGAGAGTAAAGAGAAGAAAACAGAAACACATCAGATGCTTCACACGCCACTTCGGAACAATAGAACATTAAAAAGACACGGAAGGATCAGAGGAAGGTTCTGTCACCTAATAGCGTATTTGACTGGCCGCACTGAGTGCGCACGAAAACGGTGCGCGCTGTTTCACTGAGAAGTCTAGTGCCAAGTTTTTGCAGTTTAGTGCAAGAATTCGGCATGAACTCCGAGAGACGGTGTTAATTTAGTGTAATCTGGCTACGCGAAATGCACGATTAAGCATTTGAACTGCTAATTAAAAAGATAACTAATAATTTAAAAAATCATTTTCGCAACTTATTCTTTTAATTATTTCTTACGTTTTCTCATTATTATTTTTATCATATTAAACAATAATTTTACAAAAGAAAGATGTTGGACATATATGAACATATGAAATATGTCGTATTATATACATATTATATAATTATATATACGTTTATATATATTTATAGAATGATCATACATGAAACATTTTTTACCAAAATAGATTGTACAATAGTATCGGTACTAAAAGTAATTATATGTTATTATTACAGTTCAAAAGTCATTTTCGCGTTCCCAGAACAACAGCTTACAAAACAGTAAACGTGTATGCATCCTGCAAATCCTTCCATAACGAATTACGCAATATTTTATGTCTTCAAATATAGCGGCAAATGTGTACTATAAAACCGAACCGCACTAAGGTCGATACACGTGTTTAGCAGGTTTAGCTGGGAGGGCAAGAAACTCGCACTTTCGGCAACCTCGTGCAGTGCTGCTGCCACTGAACGAGTTTTTGGTGCGCACTCAGTGCGGCCTAGTGAAAAACGCTATTAAAGTGCTCTGTCGCTGTCCCAAAAAGTTATCTACGAGAAGGCGCTTACAACTCGCTGTAACAAAACAAAAATAATACGATCTTTTCTACCGCTGTATTTGTAAGATATCACGGACGACTTGCGAATGATCGTCTTGTAAATATTAGATAATCACAATGACGTACAGAGGCGAAGAAATCCTTGCGCGAAATAGAAAAAATAGAAAAAAAAGAACACGCGAGATGGGACTCTTTATATGTGTATATGATAGAACTGTTGATTCAATAATGCGAATATACGATAATATCCACGTCTCCGTCTTGGAGAAAGAGATATCGTTTTTTTTTTTTTGGAGAAAAGATACACAAATATAAATACACATACACACGACACCTATGGTGCATGAGTGTGTTACGTGCGAGTACATACACAACTTCGAATTGGTATTCAGCAGGGTTGGGTAGTGCGAAGTTAAAAAGATAAAAGTTAAGTTAAAAAGTTAATTAATTTTAACTTGGTTACATTTTAGATTTTTAACTTTTTAACTTAATTTAGTTACATTTTATCAGTAACTATTAACTTTTAATTTGATTTTTTTGAAGTCAATCCTCAGACACAATGCGAGAGGATAATGAATATATTTAGTAATTTTATATTGTATAATCGTCGTTACTTGTGAACAAAAATAACCAGATTATTTAATAAATATGCGAGAAAAGAAAAATACGAAAAATTATATAAAATACGTAAAATGGTCAAACTTTTTCTTTTTCTTTTCTTTTTTTTTTGGTTGTTCGTTCGGACCAAATTTAACTTATAATTTTTCAATTATTTTTTTTTATTAACTTAACTTTTAATTCTCAATTAATTTTATTATAGATTAACTTATATTTTAATTAAGTTAAATTTTCAAAGTTATTAACTTTAACTTAACTTAGTTAAAAAAAAAAGAAGTTAACTTACCCAACCCTGATATTCAGAGTATAAAGTAACATTGGAGGGCTGAATTCTGATTGTCATGTTATATCTGTCGCGTGTATGTATGCATATTGAGCTTTGCATCCCGTTGTACGAGAAATTCATTATCATGAGAAATATTGGGGTTTTGTTAGCGATCCAATTAAATCTCTTCGTCTCTTTTGAATTATATTAATTTCCGTGAAACGCGTGCGGCGCGAGTGCTCTAACGATGTTCCGCTATATTGTATTAAATTGATTTTAACGAGAATTCTGACGGAAAATCACAACTCCCGATACTACGTGACTGCGAAATCGTCCTACAAAGTAGAAATGCAAATCCATGTTTTAAGATTGATTTTATATCTGCGAACTATAGTCAAATGTCTCATTTTTATTGTTTTCATGAAAGTCACGACATAACATAAAGGATAATTGTGTATATATGTTGACGATAGTCTATTTTTTAAGTTGTATTAAACACTAACATAAAATTAGTAGCAAAGTAACGATGTACATGGTTTTTACTATCTAATTTTGGGATTCCAATTTTGCTATTTACTATTTAATTGGAATTATTTACTCTCAGAGTTATCATTTGTACGTACATATTATGCCGAATAGAGGGGGGAGGGGAAAGAAGGGAGGGGAGAGAGAGAAATGTACAGAAATATTCGTTCGTTTAACATAATGTTCATACGATTTTATATTTTATTGAATTTTCACATCTGTCGATAAGTGACCTCACAATAGATATACAAGTTAAGAAGAAAAGATACACGGAGAACAGAATGACAAAACCAGTTTTGTCATTGTTTCCACAAACATCTATTTTTTTTTCTCTAAACTTTTCTATGAATTAAGTTATAAAACACGCTGTTGTACTTAATTATTTAATACGGTTCACCGTGATATAGCGCGATGCGACATAGATGTAGATGTATGTACATACCATAAGGATTCATCTCTCTCAAGAGCGCCGCACATTTCTTTCAGTACGTTTCCTTCTCTGATTTCTAATCGGGACATCTTATGTATAATTTCTCGATTAGCTTTACGATTGATTGAATAAATGTGTGTGTGCGTGCGTGTGATACTGTACGCATTTTAGCTCCGTCCCTTATATGTTGCTCGAGATATGAATGCGCGCGCGCGTAAGGTATAGGAATATATAAGATAGAACAGGTGGGTGTGCGTTCCTGAGTGGCCTTGTCCTTAAAGTTTGTGACACAGCGCGTCAGCCCTTCAGTGGGGTTATTGCTCTGCCTACTTGTTCTGAATATTACACATTAGTTTTATAAACATACCTATAAATATATAAATACATACATGAAGATATTAAGGATAAAAATGCTGTATATATACTTTCTAGCGAATCAAGGTGTGAAAATAAAATGTATTTTTATTCCACTACGTTTTTAAAATTACTCGCCATTCATGTATACTTTGAATATAAACGTCTTTATAAGATTGTAAAAGAGCTACCGTAACGTTGATAGTTTTCATTCTCGATTGTAATAATTGATATTTTGTATAATTTTAATCCTCTCCATCTTAAACAAGTTGCTCGAGCGGAAATGATGAAGAAATTCTGATGAAATTGCAAAGTAATCGTTTTAGAGATCTCGACTTTAAACGAGGATACATATCTTTATTACAAATACATAGCAGATTTATTATCACACATTATGCTGAATATTATTATTTTTGCTGAGGATCACAAGACGCGTTACTGCCGACGTGATTAAACAGACGGTCCTTGATAATTTGCGCCATTAAACCATGAATAACTTCGATGGTAGTTTTACAACTGTCCCTGGTCGCTTTTATGAGTTTTTCCACTGTACTGCGATCATGAGGATCCGTGCCGCCTAAAACAAATCCTCTACCCAAAGCTGATTCCGAGTGTTCTAATTTATCCGACAAATCGAATATTTGGCCGGTGGTGTAATCCGCATTTGTCAATAGGCTAGAAGAGCTCAAAGTGTTCACCCAGTATTTATTCCATAATGAGTCGAGCAATCGTCTATCCAATGCAGACTTGAAGTAGGACACCTCCAAGGAGTAATATTGTTTACAATGGACACCGAAGTCTTCGATTTTGTTCAGTGGTATCGTCTGGTATTCTGATGGTTCTTCATTAGCGGGTTTATATCCCTAAGAACAATTTAGTGAAATGCTAATTATTTCTCTCAATAGAAAACATAAAGTCAATATCATTAATGCATAACAGGAACACACTTTTTGTAACTAGCTAGAGAAACATATGGATCCTTGGGACTCGCTAAAGTTTTTTGTTACTAGGTAAAAAAATTTTTTAATTATCAACTATATGCAGGGTGTTTGATAAGTAACGATAAAACTTTCGTATAGAGGTAGAGCGGACTAAACTTAAAAAAATTATTGAAAATTTTCGGCGATTTTTAGTAATTGATATCTTGTTAACTACTGTGAAAATTATAAAATACTACAGGACTTTTCGACTCAGTTTAGTCTGCTCTACCCCTATGCAAGAGGAACTAAAATAAACATCTTGGATTCCTTTCCTCTAGAATGGATTAATTTCAATTTTTTGATCAAAAAGACACGATCTATATAAAACATACTTTAGGATAGGTTCTGAATGCACCAAGGCAAACTTTGCCAGCAGAGATAGTTCTCACGGGATCGATGACAATTGCAACAAATGGTTCTTGGAAATTTTGATTGAGCATCTGGGTTGATACGTCAATACCAGACAACCAGCAGCCATATCCAGGATGACTGTGATACCATCCGATCGCATTCTCTAATCTACCAACCTAAATAAATTATCAGAAGCTACAGATTATTGCCATATATTTACAAAGTACTTTTTGTTACAAAATATATATATGTACTTGTTTAGCCGCTTCTATGTATGCTGTCATGTACTCGTAGGCTTGAGCTTGAGCATTTACTCTAGTTTCGGTCCCTTCGACTGGCAATGCAAAGGAATCCATTACAATCATCGTGTTCGCTGCTACTTTACCAAGTAGGAGGCCCATCACTTCTAGCGTCCCACCAGATCGTGCATGCATAACCATTTTTAACAGAGCTAATGCAGATATTTTTATGTCCTTGAAGAAATGGGGACTACAAATAAGAAAAAGTACTGATTACAGTTAATGCTTTTGATTTTTAAGGGATATATAGATTAGTAGTATCCTTTTTCTCTCTCATACTCTTTCTCCCATGGTTTGGCAGTTAATATATCTTGTTGTTCCTTCCTGTCGTATCTATAAATCTCGTCCATGGTGCTGATAGTTTCGATGCAGTTTGACAACTCCCATGTCTTCTGGGCAATATTATTCTGGTCGGATGACGGACCAGCCATTCTGTTAAGAGAATAATAACAATAATAAGAAGAAAGAGGGTAATAATAAAAGTATATAGTCTATATATTCCACCATAATACTAGATACTTGGCACAAGTGTGAGCCATTTAAATTATACCAACTCCAAGAAAAATAACATTAAATAAGAAATCGTTACGTATCGTAATATTTAGTTCGTTAAAATGTATATAATAATCTACTAATATCATAACACGTTTTCCCGGTAAACACATGACTTTTTAAATGCTCTTGAGGTTAAGCACATCCAATGTCCATTATTAACCGTCGACGGGATTACTGTAGTAGAAAAATGTACTAACTGGACGCACTAATTATATCTCTTGGTCTCAATCACAATCTGCCGATCATTTGAACATAACTTGGACAAATAGTAATAACTCGCTATTCGCTGCTTTGTCTCAATCTATACTTCTTCGATCAGTAGAAACGGTTAAGGCCATCAGCCATGGTGGAATAAGAAAGATGAACCAACGTGTATAATCAAGCAATAAACCAGCCAATCAGAAATTAGCCCATCGATGCAGCGCCATATTCAAATACAACATTGATCAGTGTTTAAACTTTATATTGATCAATGTATGATAAAAGCAAAAATAAATTAAAAATTTGAAAATATAATATGAAATTGCTGTTACAAAATATCGTAAATTAATAAAATATGTAATAAAAATAAAATAATGATAATGATAAATAAAGAAATAAGTCACGTGGGATGCCCTTTTCTGCATGCAATTATTGGTTCAGAAATGCTATGATCAACGGAAGGATGTGTTCATATGCTTTATCGATTATCAAAGAGTCTAGCGTTAGCGTGCGCCATGACCCGTTATTACCACTGCTGCAGGAAATAGGTCTCGACGAGGACATTAGAATAATCCACAGATTATATTGGGATCAAATGGCAGAAATGCAGATCGGCGGAACACTATTGCTCGTATTCATAGTGAGATCTTAATTATACTTGAGGCTTCCTTAAATTTATTTTTAGATGCTTAGTAGCCAATGAAATAATTCGTAGAGCATCTGAAGATAAATTTAAAGAAGTCTTAAACATAAGACCTGACTATGAATACGGGCCTATATCTTCTTAATACGCATCACTCAGGGTCGCGACCTTGACAATATGAGTCAAGGCCATTTTAATTTCTTTTTGATAACTTTGTTAACGCGTGATGGGTGACCGTTACAACCTTCCGAAGGTTGCGATGACCTTCATAATATGTGGGAGGGTCAAGGTCATCGGAGGGGAATTTAAATTACAACAACTTCTTAATAAGCAACGAGCGACTGACGAACGAGCGAGCTTTCGACGGTCCCTAAGTGACATACGTGGATTTAATCAGAACACTATAGGGTGCTTTCCATTTGATGACTCAAGTTGACACAAGTGTCGTTTAATCTTCGTCACTCTCTGAATGTAGAAGGATAGAACGACGCTTGTGTCGACTTGAGTCATCAAATGGAAAGCACCCATAGTAGACTTAAGCAGAATTTTGGATCGTTTAATTTCTCCATCAGAATTCCAGTTGATTCAACTAAATATTTTTCTCCTTAAAATGTAGGATCCCTAATCCGATGAATTACGAATGAACGAGAACTATCAGAAGGACGCGATGGTTGGCTCAACCTTCCCGCTTTTCCGGAAACAGCGGGCGTATAATTGTTTCCGGAAAAGCGGTCAGTCGACTGGTCGTCCACAGCGCTCTTTGACGCGCGCAGCACGCGGTGCAACGCGGTGCCATCAGGCATCACTGCTGTCGCTGCGGGCAGAAACAAGCAGAAGTAAGCAAGCAAGCTGCAAGGCGAGGGTCCACTTAGCGTTCGGAGTTCGGTCACCGTGACGACGGTGAGCACGCGTGAGCGCGCAACTACGAGCTCGGAGTGTCGGACGGGACTCGCCAGCGGAAGCGGCCAGCGTGCGCAACGATCCAAAACAGTATTCCGCAAAACACTATTTATAAGCGTTTATAAGCGCGTACACGCACAATGGGACACGCGTTCGTCTGTTTCCGCTACTGCCTCGTTGCTGGTGCGATCCTCCTTGGCGTAAGTTCTCGTTAATGCTCGTAAATTGTTAAGCGTTTGTTCCCTTCCGCGTCCCGTCACCATGTCCCGTTCGATCGAGTTCAGTACGTTCTGCACGTTCGCGAAGGGCGAAATCGTCCGGCCTGTCCAAGTATGTCGAAGCGACGAATTCGTAGCTGCTTGTAGCTCATATATACCTAGTTGTCGCAGCACTCGCAGCTGTTATCGCCTTCTTGTCTTCGATCGAGATCCATTAAGCGCGATTCAGCGTGCTATTATTGTGATCATTCGCGCAGCCGTTGCCGTTGCATTCGGAACGGTTCGGAGATCGCGCGTGCAATGCCGTTGGTGGGGCTTCGTTCAAGGGAGCGGCGCCAATTCGTCTCGTCGCAATTCGCAATTTGCGTGCAAGCGCAGTGCCAATGCATCGGTGGTGATGCCGGAGAGGTGTACGGTTGTACGCTACAATTACATACGCGCGTCTGTGTTCGGGCCATTCGGGCAAAATTAGACGTCATTCTATTGTCCGATTCACTACTCTTACAACGCTTAACAATTATTTCATTCCTTTTATTTATCGATGTTGAACAAGAACAAATGATGCCCACGAGTATTAAAAAGCCCCAGACGTAAGTCAATGCGAAGGAATAGTGATAGCGATAGAAATAACATGATTTCGATCTGTCAGATCTGGAGACACGGTAGGGTCTCGCTAGTGAACGATTTTTAAATAAAAATTTTGATTTTCCTTAATACATGTTTAATTTGATGAAAAATGGCTAAACCGTCTTTTAAATGTGGTACTGTATGTTTTTTTGATCGCTGAACACGATGCAATAATTCATTTAGCTATACGATATATATCTTAAGAAATACAGCCCGATTAATGTAAAAAAATGACCAAATATCGAGTTCAAGGTCGATTTTAGCAAGATTCCAAGCATTCAAATGGATAGTTACTTCCTTCAAATTGTAGGTCTGTTTACCAGAACAAGATCCAATTGGAATTTTCCCGGGACCTCCTGCAGGGCCTTTAAAAGTTGCATTTAATTGGATTATAAAACGCTTTTAAGTATAGAAAAAGTTTTTTTACAAGTTGTAAAGTATATCGCTTTGTGGTTTTGACATTCTTAAATCAAATGCCTCAATTTGACAATAAAAAACTTTCTTAGGAAATGAAATGTATACATAAAAAAAATATACTACATAACATGCAGTTTATTTCAATTAATTAAATCATATTTTTTTGTATTATGTACTCATTTCATTTTCTAATAGAGTTTTTTATCGTCAAATTGAGACATTTGATTTGAAGATGTCAAAACCACAAAGCGATATACTGTAGAACTTTTTCAAGAATAGAAAAAAAATTTTTTAGGCGTGCGCGCGTCTATCACGGAACAAGTCGAAATGGACTCCAATCAGAATTCCGACTTGTTCTATGATAGATACCCTGAAAAACGATAAATGAATCGAAATCGATTCAATATATGTATTTTAGAGAAGAGAACTCTTAAGTGTTCGAAAAATTATTATCTCTGAGATGAAACAAGATATATGTATATACAGTTAATATCTATACACTATGATAAAGGCAGCGAAAGTTGAAGGAAAACGCACTAATTGCAGAGCGACCTTAATTAACACTTTATTCCGATTAATTGTAAAAAATATCGCTGGTTTGACGTCAGTTTTGTGATAATAACATTATACAGGGTGATTGAAATTTGGTAATCTAAAAATATTAAAAAATCGGATTATTATAGCATGGTCAGCATGTGCCAAAATTAGAAATATAAACCAAAAATTTTTCAACGTCTTTGAACAGTTTCTGATTCGTCCATGTGAAGCGGGTATCGCTGTAGAAAGAAATCGAAAAGAAAGAGTTTCCAAACATGTTTATATTTTTTTTTCATTCTTAGGAATAATAGTAGCCAGATCACTTATTTCGTTGTCACCCTGTATAATCAACTTTTCTTCTAAATATTTTAATTTATATTGTACACACACACAAACGCGCGCGCGCATTTAGATATTATTTTAATTCTAGTGATTTAGTGAAAGTTGTTTACCTGAAATATATATATATATATATTCCAAGAATTAAAGTTTTTTATGATAAGATAAATAAACTCTTATTTCGAGTCGAAAGATTATTGGTTACAAGTTATATCAGTTTTCCTACAATTTAAGATAACTATCATTGTGATATTAATGCGATAGTGTTGAAAGTAATTAAAGTACTGTGATGTGCAAAGTTTGTTTTAAATGGACTGTATGAGCGTCTCACCCATTTATAGATAAGAATTTATCTTCTTTATCTATGATAACTCATCTGTTACAACAATCTGATAACACAATCTGCATCATTGCCGTGAGTTTGCGTACTGTTTTCGAGAAAGGAAGCGATGTGGACAATTTCAACAAAATTGATTTTTAACAAAAAATTTATTATTTTGTTAAGTTTAGGAGAATATAGTTATGGTGTAGGAGAAAATAGTTATAATTTATATGTTAAAATTTCAAGTCATTATACCGAGTCATTTTCTCTCTACGTTATCATCAAAATTGAAAAATCACATGCGGAAAAATATAATAAGATTGGGACAAATAATAAGGAGGTTCGACTTCCGAGATAATATTTTTCGCAATAAATTTATTTGCAGTTTTTCAGCACATTAACATCTTTCTAATTGATGCCTAATCGAGCATCAAACTATTAAAAATTGCTTCCTAATTTAATTAATTTAATTCGTGATATTATTACAATAGTTTAATTGCGTTTACAAGTCCGAAAAATCAATTCGGCGCGCAGTTCGAATGACTACAAGTATGGTATATATGCATGTACATATAGTATATAATTCACATTGAATTATTTAAGGATTAAATATCACCAGCTCGACCACGTTAGAGGCCTTTGAATTTCTATTATTAATACTTTAAGAATATTCGATAGAGTAAGACAAAGCATGAAACGGAGGCTGAAAAGATGCATCAAGGTAGTAGTAGATAATTTTGAATCATTTCTGTAAATATATTCTGAGTTGTTTACTTTCTTTTTCTTTGTTTCTTTTTGTATTGTTTAATTTTACTTATTATTTGTTCCATTAATTGTTTGATATTGTTATAGAGCATTAAAGTTTCTTCCATCTCAGAAACTAAGTGTTTATAAACTTTAAAAAATTTTTTTTGATAGGAACACATTCCTTCTCTCTCTAAAATATAAGTAATATTTAATTTATTCAAGTATATTCTGTATGGATCTTTTTTATCTCGTGCAGTAACGAGAGGAAAATATTGGTATTGTACAGTAACAAACCGTCCTAAAGTAGGAGGGGCAGTCCCAAATTTTAACTTTTCGTCCCACTTTATAATACGTCTTAAATTAAGGATATGGTTATATAAATTGTTCCCCTTTTAAGCGTGCAAAAATAATAACTATGAATTAATAAGTATAAAAGTAATAAAAGTGAAAATAATAAGTGTGAAATATAATTTTCAACTAATATGTGAAGAAAATTTTGATTTTTTTTATTTAAAAAACCCAGATATTATTCATCAAATATATTTGTTAGAAAAATCCAATTTAAAAAAAATATGTACTCTCGTAACTTGACGTATTTTTTTTTTGTAATTTCATATGATATACATTAAGAGTGCATTCGAGGAGCGCACTATCACCGTCATTTGTGTAATACTATCCTTGTCTCACGTCGACGATGAAGATAGAATAACATAAATAGCGCTAATAGCGTCTCCCGAATGTAGCCTAAGTGTTATTAGTTATTTACAAATATAATAATATGATATCGTTTATATGTTTCGTTAACAATTATTTAAAAAGTGCTTATCTATTAAAATTTAATTACGGCAATTAATATTAAATTTTTTTAAGTGTCCCTCTTTGCTTTCTTAAGAGGTTGATCATCTTAGTGTACTGCAGTATCTACTGTGAAAAAGTCTTTTTCTTTTTCTGCAGATTTCCGGCGCGATCGTGAGTGTGTTTGCCAGTTATTTCATTTACCAGTTGTACGAATACGCGTTGCTCACACCCAACCATGTGTGCGGGTCACCTGCTACTTTGTTGGCGATGGGCGTTATAACATGCGGGATCGGCTGGCTTGCCTGGCAATTCCTAGATTTTTCCAACAAAGGCCAAGTGATTATCGTAAGTATACTTCTGAAATATTCAGGGAATAATTAGGAAATTCAAAACTGATATGAATTGTTGGTATTCCAGTTTGCTATAGCGATGGCGATCATCGTGCTGATCGAAACCAGTGTCGGGATTTGGGCTTTAGTGCGCCATGAACAAATAGACACCCTGTCGTCCACGAGACATGAAGAGATCTTTGCCCTTGCAGTCACGGATGAGAAGTCCAACTGGGATCACATGCAGTCTACGGTAAAAATAGCGCGCGCGCGCGCACTCTCTCCCTCCCTCCTCTTCTTCTCTCTATCATATTTGGATACCGCGTTTATTTAGTTGCTAATGTATGTAGTATTTGCCAGTTAATCTCATTTTGCGAGAAGCGGTTGCATTCCTGCGGACATTGAAACAAATTTAGATGAATGCGATAACATAAAACAAAGTCTCTTATAAACAATAAGAATCATATTTTAGACCGTACGTGTGAGGATACAATCGATAAACTAGAAGCCTATACCGATCGAAGCTGGATCTTTAATGCTTTAAATAATTCAATGTGAATTATATTGTATATATTATATATGTACATGTATATATACCATATTTGTAGTCATTCGAACTGCGCGCCGAAGTGGTTTTCCAAACTTATAAACGCAATTAAACTACTGTAATAATATCACAAATTAAATTAAATTGATAAGCAATTTTTAATAATTCGATGCTCAATCAGGCATCATGTTAGAAAGATGTTAATGTGCTAAATAAATTGCGAAAAATATTACCTCGGCCGGGAGTCAAATCCGGATCTCTTGTATTCCGTATAAAATATCTCAATTTTAACCAATTTGACTAAAATCATTTTTTTTCAAATGATTAAGTGCAGAGTCCCCTTTACTTATATTTACGATAAAATAAGATATATGAAATGTGAGAAAAATTTAAATCGAGCTAACTTCGATTCGATTAATAATTTAATTTCAGTTACAATGTTGCGGAATAGATGGACCTTCCGATTATCGTAGCATAGAATCGATTCCTTGGTCCTGCTGCAACACGACGAATCAGGAAAACAACAACACCGAGGGTGCTTGTACTACTATCAATAAACGTGGATGTCAGCACGTGGTTTTAAGTCGGACGAGATCGATCCTTCTTCACGTTTTTCTGCTCGCGTTGTGCTCTGTGCTGCTACAGGTGCGTGTCTTTGTTCACTGGAATTCACAGATTAATCAACTAATCCAATGACGGTCGTCAATTGGTTTCAGATTTCCTTCATAGCGTGCACGACTTGTTACGTTAGGATATACAAAGACAGGATGGAAAGGAGAGCGTCAGAGATGGCCATGCGCACGTCTCTGCAAGATACGAGGGAAACAGATACTAAGAACAATCTTTTAACACGTCAGTCGAAATATTCGCATAATTCTGGCAGTCCTTAGCTAATATGACGAAGGACAGAGATGTGTGTCGCTTAAGAACGTTGCATCATTGTGATATGCAAATATGTCTCACGTGATGACAATATCAACAGTGTATAGATACACTAGTGATATTAATATACATTATACATGGTGTTCCAGATCAATCGAGATATATTTCCGATTTTTCTTCACTCTCTAAATTCTTTGCTGTGGAATCTCATTCTAAAAGGTAAAAAAATTGAGCTAGTCGTGAAAGAATGGCTAATTTTCAATCTTTAAAGGCGAGATTTCACTCTTCAAAATGACAATTCACTCTAAACATTTTGGAAAGTATACTTTAGAGAGAGAGAGAGAGAGAGAGAGAGAGAGAGAGAGAGAGACTACACTTGCGAATTTTTAACAATGAATTGCTTTGCAAATAAATCTTAATATTTTTAATAGAATTGATAAATAGAAAATTCTTTTATACATATTCAAAGAGATAATTTCTAAAAAAAATTGTTTTTTTCTCAATTAAATTTAAGGAAAATATCAAATTTTTTAATTCGTTGAAAAAAATATATTTTTAAAGTATTTTTGACTCTCACTTGAATATCCTGTATAAAGAAAAAAATTCATAATATTCTGAAAGGTGCCTGAATAATTTGCATTCTATTCTTACTGCCATTTTATAAGTAAATAGATGTTTTTATAGTGTTTATACTATGACAACATTTCTGTCTTTTTATTTAAATTCCTAGCAATATCGAGAGTTGATATGATTTAGTTAAAAAATAAGATTTTGTTATCTTAGTAAATGTGGTAAAAATCTCCATATTTATATTTTTGAGGCCTTTAATTAATATAGTTTGATCTCTATTAAGCTAGTAGAACCAAATTAACAAAATTGAATTGGACCTGTTGGAATGTTGTGTACAAATTGTTTTTATTGATGATACAAATTAGTACAAAAAGGTATCGAATATTTCAACGGATTTAATTTGGTTTTGCTAATTTGGTCCTGCTAGCTTATTAATAGAGGCAGTTAGTTTGTACTTAACATATTTGTTAGTGCAATAATTGAATAGATAATGAAGTGCACAGTGCAATGCTTCAATCAATCAACGATCGACACGATCAACAAAAGTAGAACGATATTAAACACCCAGTATGAATGTATCATTTTCAAATCTTACATTACCCAGAAATAATTGTATGATCCTAGATTAAAAAGCAGAGCGTAATCGAACAAGTCGGAGTAAGCGACAAATAATTATTAATTAAGCGAATGTAGTTTTTTCTAATGAGTGCATCCAGAAGCGACGATCGCTCACTGAGCAAAAAACTTGTTCTGATATGTGACTTCTATTGTAGACCCCGCATTACGGCCCAAACATAACATTAGAGAAATAATAAACAGTAATAAATAAGTAAGAAATATGATATTAAAGATTATCTATAATAGACAAGTTACGAATTATAGTAAATAAACATATTAATCATAGATTAATCCCTTTTTTGCTCAGTGAGCGGTCGTCACTTCTGGATGCATCTTATTATTTTCACCTATATATCTTTTAATTTATAATATATTTCATCTATATATCTTTTATTTTAAATCTATTTTAAACATTTCCTTTTAAATCTATTTTTCGCTGATTTTTTATTTACACTTCATTCGTTATTTGCAATATCATGCAAATCTTTTATAATTTTCTAAAAATTAAGAGATCGATACTGAAAATGAAAACTATTTTGTACAAGAAGTATGAGTGTGTGTTTTTTGTAGAATACTCTTTTACGAAAGAAAAGAATGTTTAGATAATTCTGTTATTATCTGATTATTACCCCTCATATATTTTCCTCTTTTAATGCAAATGTACCCATACAAAACAGAAATTTGCAGTATCATTGTAGAAACGTTGCAACATTGCAGATTGCGCTGTAATGCTGCAACATTATAGATATCAGGAAGTAATATATAATATGTATTACGGCGCAAGATTTTTACACTTTATACATATAACATTGCTACGACATTACAGCGCTGAAGGCGGACATTTTTATGATGCTATGACATTGCAACAATGTTGCAAATACATTGCGCAATCCATTTACAATATTATAATACTGCAATGAGATATATCTGTAATAATTTTGCAATTTTTCTGTGCCGTATGGGTAATTTTAATATCAAAAATAATGAAAAAGCTGATAAAAATTTGAAACATGCAGTAGAGCACATTTTTTCATCCTATAGAGTAATAATTTGTCAAAACACTTTGCAGAAAATATTTTCAGTTTATTTGAACAAATTTCTGATATATTTTATCGAAAATGTCTCGCTCTTAATTCATTCCATCGTACAGGCGAGATAAAAATATATTTTTCGAGTAACATCATGCAGCGCGTCATCCAAAAGACTGAAAATTTTAATCACGTCATACATTTAGGTAAGACCTGTTCGTTTTGGTTGAACTTTTGCATTAATTCATCTTTCTTCCTTTTCTCTCCAGGAGAAAAGAAGAGGAAGAAAGATGAAAAGTATGATATACTTGTACCCAGCTAATGCTAAATATTCCTGGGCCCCCATTCTTGAAAAGAAACGTATACGAAAGTCTGGAGAAATGCCACAGTCGTTACGTATATTATAGTATTTTTCCAGAATTTCGTATACGTTTCTTTTCAAGAATAGAGGCTCTGAAGTATTCATAAAAGGTTCCTAAAATCCCCCAAATACATTCCAAGAGTATTCCGGAATATTCCGAAATATTATATTTACGGAATATAAAAGCAATATTCAAATATCGGTTAAAAAAGAAGGACACAGGCCCGTATTCGTAGTCAGGCCTTAAGTACAATGTCTAATTATGAATACGGGCATTAATCTCAAGCAATGTCTTAAGGGCCACTGTCACCAAGCTCAGTTAACTGGGCCAATTAATCCATCGGAATTGACCAATCTGTCAATTCTTCAAACAAAATGACAAATACGATTGGTCAATTCCGATGGACTAACTGGCCTAGTTAGATCAACTGAACTTGGTGACAGTGGCCCTAAGGGCCATGGCACACAAAAAAACTTAAGCAGTAAAACATAAGCAGTAAGCGAATTGACCAATCACAGTAGAGTCCATAAGGCCATAACATAAGCAGTAGCGAATCCAACATGTTGATTTCCTTACTGTTTACGTCTTACTGCCTTAAGTTTTTTGTGTGCCAGGGCCCTAAGTCCGGATCTACAATAGGTGTTTTAAGACTTAAGCCATAAAAAATTGACCAATTACAGTGGAACCCGAGGGTAATAATCGACTGTGATTCGCCCATTTCTTACGACTTAAGGCTTAAAACCCTATTGTAGATCCGGGGTAAGATGCTAACACGGCTCTCTGATTGGTTCATGCACTAGCTTAAAACCATCTCGAATCTTTAGCAACGTCTATGGATTCCGCCTTTAGTGTATCTCGTACATTAAATTCAATAATTCAGTAAAATTATTAAACATATCACTGCGCATGCTCTGACGCTCGACGGTTGACGGTGCCATGTAAAGGCACCGCGAATCGCGTTGCGTTCTTCGGTGAACTTCGGGCGGATTCGTGCGGGACCGCCGTCATATTGGCATTACTGGCGCTCGCTTGATAGCGCTGCGCGGAGCGTCGCTTGAATAGTTGAATGTAATTTCAGTTGGAGTCGGACAGTTAAACCGTGTGGTCGTTGATTGCGTTGTTGCGCGCGCGTGCGTGTGTGTCACGTGTAATTCCGTCCCAGCTTCTCGTCCTCGCTCAGATTCAGAGCGATTAGGTTTCTTCACATCGCGGCATTTATATCGCAAGACCGATCAAAATGGGCTGTGGAATGGGAATGATCAAATATCTGCTCTTCATATTTAATTTCATCTTTGTGGTAAGTAAAGCGAAACCGTTATCCGATAACAACGCCATAAAGCCCATTCTATGGCTGCGCCGAACGCTTCGAACATTCTTTGATCAGTCAATTCGTAAAATTCTTTGTTCTGATTGGTCGCTCAAACGCTTCGAAACGTTTGTAGCGTCAAATGGACCGCAGCCTATAATATATTGCAGCGTAAGTGAGCATATCATGTTGTTGTAAGTTGTAAGAATTAATCTATCACAGACGAATATACGAGACAAATTTTCGACTGTGCTTGGTCAATTCTTGCAATTAAGATCCGGTTGCACTGACGCACTTAAACTTTAAGCGACGTTTAAGGGCCCTGGCACACAAAAAAACTTAAGGCAGTAAGACGTAAGCAGTAAGGAAAAATCAACATGTTGGATTCGCTACTGCTAGTGTCATAGCCTTACGGACTCTACTGTGATTGGTCAATTCGCTTACTGCTTACGTTTTACCGCTTAAGTTTTTTTGTGCCATGGCCTTAAGGGTATATCCACACAAGTTTGCATAGCCGCGTAAACGTATGCATAAAGAAAATTATCCAATCACAATTTACGTGCGTCTTTATAGGAGAAATGCGATTGAATAATTTTCTTTATGCATACGTTTATGCGGCTATGCAAGTTTGTTGTGTGGATATACTCTAAAGGTCCAGCTACAATACAATTAGCAGTAGCACAGTTTTTACAACTACGTCTGTCTATAATGATGATGACGTAGCGGTAGCTACGACATAAAGTCAATCAGAAAATACACTGTTTGAAGTTACATAGAAAATAGTGATCGAGTTTTCTCAGCAGTTGCAATAGTTACGAATTCATTGATTCACTGATGATACTGAAATTGTCGTCAAACAGCCACAAAGTGACGCGAGACACTTGCCGTAAGCCGTAGGCAGTATTGAAATGGAAATGGTTCATTTCGCTTACGACTACAGTTGCGACCTACTAAACCAGAAATGTCTATGTCTCTTACGACTACTGTTACGGCCTAAAACTCTCCATTGTAGCTGGACCTTAAAACTCGCAGTTTCTCTCTAAAGCCGAAAGAGAGGAAGAGAGATAGAGAGAGTTTTAAGCCTCGCTTAAAATCACAGTAATGTTGGTGCAACCGGGCCTAAAAGCACTGCGCTTATACACATACATATGTACATGTATACATGTATAATGTTGTAGATAATGGTTTTAACGTCCTTCTCTTTGTTCTATTTCGAAGAATTCTGAACTAGTTCTAAACTAGTGCGATATATGTTATAGAGTAGAGAAACAAACTACCCGTCTCACTCTAACTTACCGCATCAGTGTATACCAGTCAGAACTTGGCGTGGAAAAAGAACAGGCCTCTTATGTCGCTAAAAAAAGAACATATGTCTTATCGCGTTTCAAGGCGTTAGATTAAAATCACATTCTGTCCTGCCGGACATGTAGACGCGCTCTACCGCAACTCCGGCCACGTATCGCTTTTATCGCGAGCTGAAAATAATTTAAGGCGGCCGCATTGTTGTTTGTGGCTATAAGGAACCCTGAAACGGCCCCGAAATGTTCCCGTTGCAGCCGTCTGCTGTTCATTAGGGTATAAACCTCCCGCCCGAGTGATCGAGCTGAAGTTGACGTGATTTTGAATCAACAGGCTAAGTAATCAACGCACTCTACAAAATATCGGTGTCGATCTGTCGATTCAACATCGTACGATGTCTATATAATTCTTACAGTGTTGAGTGTTAGTACTGTTAGTGTGTTAATATTAAAAAAAACATCTCAGGTAGCATAGTGTCTTCTAGTATTGTATTTTCGATAATTATTAATTACTCATTCTTGATGAATTTGACGAATTTGACATTCTGTCATTAAAAATGACAAATAGATTTGTCACTACAGCCACATAACGTACGCCATATAAACCAACGTTATAAATGAGTCATTATTTTCGTATTTTAATGACATACATGAATGACGTTATTAATAATTCATTCACTAATAACATTACTAGTATCGTCAATTAATCGATCATTTATCCGATGTCAATAAGTATATGATGTAAATAGGTACGTCGTGGAATGGATAATTAAATGACGTCGTTATTACATCTTAAATAGATACGTAACCTGATGATGATAATTTAAAATGACTAACTATCGACGTGAAAATACTACAGCCTGCTACCTGGTATCATCGTAGTGGATTTAGCACCATAGATTTTTTATCAATACCAGGGATTATAAATCTACATCATGTTATTAATAATATTGCTTTCCATTTCCATCGATTCTCAGATAATTCTCACTTGTGACGTCATAACTCAATTGGATGCGCGTCCCTTTTGCATTCTGACAAGTGAGATTCAATGAGTTTTTACCTGTAATCTGCACAAGATCGAGACCGTGTGCTTTAGTGAGTCTCGTAAACTCACCTTATTAAAAATGAGGTTATACCGATATTTTTTTAAGTGTTCCAAATGTGTCCCGTCCTGTTTCCCGGTTTTATCGTTCTTAACGACAGTGTCGATATCATTGTATTATCGTTGTGCAGATATTATACACGATTGCAATGTATGATACCCGAATTGTCGCTAAAAGTTACAGATAAAGAAAAAAAAACCGAGATATATATATTATACTAATGGACACGACGCACGAAACCGGTCTTCGCGTCCTCATCGTTGACTCCGTTGTTTCAGCTCCAAGTGATCGCGCTCGATAGAAGCAGTATTTTTTTTTCTTTAGAGAGTGCTTTCAACTTGTACTTGTCTTACATCTGGATTATTTCTTTTTTTAGCGCGACTATAATATCCCTGTATACGTCACACGTGTTATACTATACTATAGATACTTATTATTCTTTCCGTCTCGCTTCCTCGCTCGGCGCTTAAATACTGTCGCACTTGGAGCACGGCGTCGAAATAATCCTTAACTTGATCGCTCTCGGTGTTTATACATAGCGGGGCTCTTGGCGGAATTCGCTCATCATTCTGTTCCGCGAATTCGTCGGTGATACTGGCGGATTACTCAACTTTGCGCGCTGTCGTCCTTGAAACGTGCAGACTATGTCCTGGCCACGTAATCGCGTGCGTGACCGTTGCAATTTTCCTTCGTTTTCTATCGGGACAACTATCACAGTATTTTTTTTAAACGTTTCCTCCGTTTCTGGAGCAGATAAAATCATACGGTCAGTTGGGAAGGAAAAATAACGGCGAGGTCGCGCTAAAATTCTTTGCGTTTGTGAGACGATTATTTTAACACTACAACTCGTTGTTAAAAATGATCTAAATTCGAAATTATGGTTGAAACGTCTGTAATTGTCAATTATTATTAATATAATAGGTAATACACGCAAGTTTTATACACCAGTGTCGGCTTTTTTCATTTATTTTAGGGTGCGGTTAAAGTCTCACTACAAATGCTTTGAAGCATTTGATTGACCAATCGGAAGAAAGAATTTTACGAATTGACCAATCAATGAATGCTTCAAAGCATTTGTAGCATCATGTTGACCGTACCTTTAAGGACGTATTGGAGACATTTCAACATAATCACAAAATTGTGAAAAAATGACAGATTATTCTTAACAATAATCTAAACAATAAGTATATTACGTCGCCTGAAAGAAAGACGTTGTTTCCATATATGTATGTACTGATCATTACGCAGAATATTACCAAGGCCTCGGTCGTCTCTAAAGACTTAGGACGCTCGCACGGAATGGGGAGAGGAGGTATGGGATGGATCTTGTTTCGCATAAACTCGTTACAAAATTACAAATTTTCTGTTTTTTTTTAAACAAAAAATTTTATAAAAAAATGTTTTCAAAGAAAATTTTTTTTTGAACAGAAAGTTTATTCTAAAACAGAATGTTTGCACGATTTTTGTTTTCTATAGTAGGAACAACTAAAATCTGTTTGAGGTCACTGAGGGTTATGACTTTGACAACACATGTCATTGAAATCGGTGAGATCGCCAATTTTCTAAAGTTTTACCGAAAAAACATGCCTTGAATTTGTCGAATAAGAGCTTAGCAAGTATGACTAAGTTCTTAGTTCCTTATATTTAATTAAATCATCTAGCATGCTTATTGAACTTACGTATACTATATAAAGATTGATTCGCGTTAGACAAGAGCTTACGGTTCGACGTATTTGTACGATTTTCAGCTGCACTGTTGAATCAATTCCAATAATATTTAATGACTTGTCTAATGGCAGCGTCTCTTCATTTATGGCCTTTTTGTTTGACGATATATTATAAGGCACATGAAACGCATTATAAGCAGCGAATTACATTGGAGTCCAAGCGACAGATATGTGTATACTAGATTAGTTTTTACGTATATACGTATATATTGTCATATATGTATATAAATACATATATGGCATTAGTGACTGACTCATAATGATAACAAAAAGCCAAGGCTGACAATTACAAGAGCTATACAATGTGTCACACGTCTCTCCACGTGCATCGCCTGCAGTATTATTGTTCTTCGATCGTTAATATCAATTCGTGAATTGATCATTAATTGATTAGATAGTAATTACGGTAGAGTAATCACAATGTTATAACAAAGCAGATTACAACAACAATACATTTGATTTGAAAAAAAGTCATTAATCGAAATATGGTTCTGTTGTGCAGGAAAACGTACCTATCTCTTACGCTACTCTTATTCATTAATTGTTATTGTTGCCCCTGTGTTTACTTGCCAATCGATAAAGTCATCCAATAGTTGCAACCCTCGTTATTGCAATCAATCGCATTATGTCGCATGCAGTATGGTTTATCCTGTTATCTTTCATCCTTTTGACTTTTAAAAGTCCGCGATATCGAGACCGTTCAATAATACAAAACGCGAAAGATAAAATTTTGTTGAGCAGTCAATAATAAACGTGGAAAAGAAGGAATACGTACTGGAGTATATATTTAGAAGGAGGAGTAGTAGATGCGATAGTTGTGAATTAGTCTATTTATCTTTCATCTATATATGCATATCTATATA